CATACTTTTAATGAAATCTGAATTATCGAATTAGTAAAAAATTCTTTATGTATTTAAAACACAAATTTTGATGTTTCTTAACTTTTTTAATGAGCAAAAATTCATTATTTTTTTATATTGTACATGTTTAATATTGTTCCATATAAATTATTACGTGATTAAAATTAACTATCAATTATGTTGAAGAATCTACAATATCCCAGTTATGTTAATTTTGATAGTTAAAGTCTTAGTTAAATAAATGACTTGCCATATAAATGAATTAAATTTATATACATACTTTATGGATTATGACACTGATTCTTTGATAGTACAAACTTGTCAATAGTTTAGTTGTTTTAATTTGTATGAAGGCATTAAAATGCTGCTATTTTGGGAATACGTAATGTAGTTTTCTGATATTTTTAATACATTTTAGTGGATTTATAACGTAAGTATTGTTTCTTTTTCTAAACTAATTATGTTTTATTGTTTTTCGGTGTTTATATCAAAATGAGATTTGGATTTAATAAAATGCCAGTCGCTTTAAGTGCGTTTAAGCCGTCGGAGGCGTTGAAGTCTTTTCTATGAGGACGATATTTTTGTTAACATACGACAACTTAATATTTTTTTTGTATTACCTTTATAATTATATATAGAAGTATCATATTTTATATATACAGAAGACATACGTCGAACTTGTATCATAATTAGACATAATTGAATTGAATTTTCTTTTTTGTAATCAGTATTATAAATTCAGTTCAAGGATTTAGTATTATTAATGTTTTTGTTAATAAAAATATCGAACACCGATGAAACCGCCCGTTTCCCTGCCGTTTCAAGATCGTACCGCGTAAACAATATCGCGGCCGGCGGAACAAAACTTTCAGAATAAATTATTGTTAACAAATATACATAGTATACGAATATATTGTGTTTCGTCCAAACTCATTACCGTACATCAGCTTCAAACTCTATCAAACATATTGAAATTGCTTTATTACTGTTGTATTATAAGATTTAACGAACTCTTAACTTATAGGGATGTATTATATGTTATCGATATATCACAAACATTGATAGTCCGTCACACAATTATCGATATACGCGAAAATATTTCAATCCCACTGTCGAACTAGTCACTATAAGTAAAACATCACGTTACACTCGTTGATAGGTTGTTTTTATGGTCCAAGTACCTGGTCGCCCACTAGGTCCTCGGCGGGTCTGAGGCAGGCCTCCATGCCCGGCTCCAGCCGGACGTCAGGGCTGTCAGGCTAGCAGGCTGTCAGGGTTGTCACCTGCGAGTTAATGTGTACGTGTTGCCGGCACGCCTGCGCGCACCAACTGCGCGCGACCGACTGCCGATGATTTCGTGATAGCGCCCTAACGACCTCCTTCTCGGGGTAGCAATGAAAGTGATCAGTGATAGCTTATGTACTGATAGCACAACCTACTATCATTCATTACTATGCTGTGATATACTAGACTAATACTAGTAATAGAACAAAAGTACTAAACGTCCTATTATAGTTTAATGAGACCTGTATGTAGATACGTAAATTTAATTATGAATATAATTTCTATGTACATATATTATAATTATATATTAAATTGCCAGTGAAATGTTTGAAAAGTTTTCGTATTGCAATATAGTTGTGTATATTCTCTTTATAGTACATATATTTTCTTATCAAGACAATTTCTTATCAACGCGGACCTGTTTTTAAGTAGCTGCATAATGGATTTATCTGCTCTCGTACGTCCGTCTATTTTCACTGGCAACAGTCTGAGTCTAGAGTAGTATTTTTCTATTACAAGACAACTAGTACACGCCCCATAACTATCGTTTTAATTGGACAATGTTATATAGCAACAGACACTATGGATTTGAATGTAGTTTAGATTGTTGTGTAGAAAGTTTTAAGGATTTAATTTAATTTGTTTAATTTTTTATTATATTGAATTCCAATTATTTTTCTATAACATAACAATTAAACCATTTTAATGTGAGCTATTATTGTTTTAATATCATATATTTGTTAACAATCAGACAGTATTACTAAAATATATTAACAATACGTAAATTATAAAGAAAATATGTAGTCTTATATTAAGTGAATCGTTTTTTTTCGCAGACGTTGGTGAAAACAGATGTTCACAGGGCAACTTTCATTTGAGTGCTGCGATAACTGGTTCCATTACCAAAGGGAAATAAGACTTAGGTCCTAACAGTTCAGATCCTCTTAAAATTATAAGTTTATACACATATATATACAATTATTTCGTTTCAATACTGTTATAAATAATTAAATGTTTGAGACATAAAATTGTCATAATTTTTTAAATTAAAGACGTAAAATTTTGAGGGAAACTAATTATAATCTAATTTGTTTTGAATTAATAGTGTACTATCAAAATTACTTTTTAATACATATGAAATAGTTAAGAGTAACAATATTGTGGTTCAACCTTCAGATTCGTTTCTTTGTCATCAATAATATAAGTTTCTTCTCTTTGATATGAGTCTTGCTTCGTTACTAAAAATTAGAATCCCATTTTTATTCTTATGTAACAAACAAAAAATGTATATATATAAAAGAAAGTTGTATTAGTTATACTATTTATAACTTAAAAACGGTTGTAGGGATATGGTTGAAAATTGGCGAGAAGATAGCTTAGAACAAGGAGACAATCATTGGATATTTAATTCTATTGTATCAAAAGGAAAAAGTACTTAATAAATTTCAATATCTGGTTTTTTTATGGCCTCTAGGGCGGGCTAGAGTTCGCCTGGTCAGCTATACATATATAAACGCGGACGAAGTCGCTGGCAAAAACTAATTCATTATAAATGTACATCACGAAAAATGCGATAATGCTTTTGAATTATTTCTGAATTTTACAAGTCGTTGAACTATACGCTTCTTAAAAGATTTAGTAAAAGAAAAATACATATAAAAAACCATTAAAGCTTTTGTGCTGACAATATAATAGTACATATAATAATTTGTACAGAACTTAATTAACACGAAAGACCTTTAATTTTTTTCTTATTATGTGCGAAATATTAAATACAAAACAATTTTTAATAACAGGATTTAGATTCGCAAATGTATGGAACGATACAATATTAATATTATTTATTCAATGTATTCTTAAGTTTTTCGTATTTTTGCGTTAATCTAAAACTAGTTACAGTAAGATTTCAAAATCTATGGCAGAATAAAACATTATTTATATAGTTCCTTATTAAAAGATTCATCTCGATATTGTAGTTACGGAAACCCTATTTAACATACTATATGCTTAGCACAGTTACACATCGCCACATACATACAAAGCGTTTTTCTTTTTCATTTATAAACCTGGGTTAAGCATAGGTATAAAATTTTAATTTATTATATAATGGAAAGAAAATTCCGTAAACTTTGATAATATGCAAAAAAAAATTAAGATAATGTTATGCCCTAAATACTACGTTTTTTTATTTTTTGAAACTTCATACTCCCGACTTTTCGGAATACTTTGTAGCAACCGTGATCATAACCAGACTATATGAAAATTTTACTTTTATCCAATTGAATACTCGCGCAATTCTCAGATCACATATGTCTTATTTAAAACTTATAAATTTTCTGCGCTGTCACATTGCATTTCAATATTAAGAATGACACTCTGTTTATTCAGTCAAAATAGACAAAAATGTTTAAATTCTGTAACTTTTGAGTTTGACAGATTAATATAGTAGGTTGTGCAAGCTGATTCTAGGTAGTACATGAAGTAGTTCGACCCTTTATAGAAGATTGATGTTAGGAAAAATATTTCAGCTTCATTTAAATCAGTGAAGTTGGCTGAATGCTTTGAGTTTCATCTTCATTAACCATCTAATTATAGGTTTCTGGGACTGTTTCGTGTATTCTAATATAGCAGATATATGTTGTTAATAGTCCTGTTCAAATTATGTTTTAGGACAATAGTGTTTTTTTTCTTGTTACTTTATGTAAATGTTTGTATTTTATTTTTATAATATTTTATACGTTTAGTACTAAAAATATAAGTACTAAAAATATACGAAAAAATCTTCGGTTTATAGGTCGAAATATGATTATAAATGCTTGAAAGAAACATTTTTCAGTTCGCTTATATTCACAGGAATATTTGCTAAAAAAATTCCTTTGAAGATAATTTAACAGAAATATAAATTATAAGGGAAAATATATTCTCGACATAATATTATAAATTTTAATCTACATGGTAGTGTACGCAATACTTCAAACATACAGTCATTTAGACGATGATATGATAATTACACACATTCTCTTTGGTTATTTGTAATGTGAATGTACAATAAATGGAAGAAAACTTTGGGACAATGTACGAAAGTTTTACTTTAATAAAGACAAATAAAGTCGTCACATATGTATATAGAACAATTCAAAATATTGTTTACATTTTTTTATTATCTACCTCCTGAATATTGCTTTGAAGTTTATTACATAAATAACTTAAACATACCCATTATGAATTAAAGACTAATTTCTTTCCATGTTCAAGAAAACGCCTGCAAAAAAATTATTGGCAATAGCGTCTATTGACTTTTTAACTAAGATTTAAATATAATATTTATTCTTATAAGAATAGGTCCGTGATATTTTCGAAGTAAAAAGGTCAGATTAGTTTTCTGAATACTTAACAATAATTTTTCATGAATGTAAATTGCTTATATACAAAGATTTAATACAAGCAAGAAATATTTTTTTTCTGGAATATAATTCCTTACATATCATTCGATATAAAAGATATAAGATAAAAAAGATATACTATACTAATATATTCCTTTACCTAAGTACTTTAAATGTTTCTGAAACATCATAAACTGAAAGATTCGAAGTACTAGTTACGTCACGTTGATCTTGACTCTGAGCCAACAAATTTCGTATGTGGATTTAGACGATAATAACTTCGGCTAAAACAGGTAGCAAATCACCCAATATGACTAAAAAGTATTGTGTAAGATGCAAGATGCAAGAACAGAAAACAGTTACTGGCTTATCCACGTGAGTATTCCTATTATTTAATCAGCATGGATTGTTTTAAAAAATTAATTAAATTAAATTTGCCTTGGTATTGGTGGATAACATCCAAAAGGAAAGAACGAAAATAAGTTTTAAGTACTTACGTATAAGTCAGATGCTTCGGTTTTGTCATAGAAGAGGTGTAGTGCTAGCTTATTTGTAATATTAGTACATAGTATTATTCTTATTATAACTTTCAAACTTATTATGAACTAAATTTTTTAAAGTTATCAATTAGTTTCATATTATAACTGATCTATGAGGGTTGGTTTATTTAATTTTTAGATGGTTTTTATTTTTATTTTAAAAAGATATAATTGACGCAATAGGAGGCTTGAGCAATTTATTTAGATTAAAACTTATGCTACACGTCAACAGAATCATTTTGATACATGACTCTAGTTCATCTTTACTTATAAACTAAATTAAATTTCTAAGAAGATTCCACAATACGTCATAGCTATTATAAAAATAAGTATGTTAGAATATAAATGAAGAAAAATTAAAAAAAAACACTCTATAGGTGAGAAAAAAGCCATACTATATAAGATTCCTCGCAAGTTTTACGTAGAAATTGAAATGTTATTTTTTTATTCGGTGTATTTTAAGAGATGTAATATTTAACAATATTGCTATATAAATAATTTATTATAAATATTTTACTATAGAGTATAGACCATGTTTTCAGAAATTCTAACTAAAATCCGTCTAATAATTATATTTTATTAACACCTTTTTTCGGTTTTAAATTAACGTTCCCGTAGAAACTTCAGTCTTAACACCGCCTTAAACATTGAATACATAAATATATAGATTAACTACAAAATCCCCTCTTTATTTTTCTTGGTAAAAAAGAAAAAAACCATTACCATTTATCATTTTTGATTCGACGCCAACACGTTTAACCATCTGTAAACTATACGTCCGTGCAATAAAAATCACATGATTTTATCGATTATATAAATCAAATATCATATTACTTCATTCCCTTCACAAGAGAATAATAAAAAATAAACTTTTAGTTGATTTTTCAAGCTTCTGTTTTCGAACTTATAGAAGTACGTAGAAAAATTTATTACCCTTAAGAGTTAGACTATATACATATATATTTATATTCTTTAGAGTAAGTTACTGTACATATTACTCGAGTTTACATATTCATAGAGGCATAAATTAATTTTTATTTTTATTTTGATGTAAAGCGCCTGATCATAACGATTTCCTAATACTCTTTTTACACAAATTGCTATAATTAGTTTAAAGTAAGTTCAAATTAAGAAGTAGTTAATAATTTTAAATTTGTTGATACGCGGAGATACTTTAATTTAATCGGAACAAAATTAATAGCTAAAACAGTACTTCATTTCACTTCAGCACCTGATCTAGTAAAAAAATATTTTAGGAATTTTTTTTTTTTTATAAGAACACAGAAAACAGGTTACATTTTTATTCATATTTATATACAAATTAAAAACACCAATTAAGAAAACCAATATATACGAACAAATTTAAATAGAAATACATTTGTAGTATAAATGTTTAATTTCGTATTTTTTTAAATGTATATACTTACATGCATTTATTGAGTCGACTAAAGGTGTCTAAAGTAATTAATATGAATAATAATTATTATCATATTTTATAAGTATAACGTAAGTGTACATCACATTTTATAAGTCTTTATTCATCTTGTACTCATGTTTGACGGAGGTTAAATATATTAATTGAACAACGTCTTCGCGTTTACAAGATTGACACCACGCAGCAGAATCACATCACACCAATTCTAACTATAATATTGACTGTTTCAATACAAAAGTTTCAATTTCAATGCTAATTATTATCAAGATATTGCACTAACTGCTTGTACATAGATTAACCAAGTAATTTAGAATACGATGTACCTATATTCAGTAAAATGTGTAAAATAGTCAACATTAACTATGTATAAGAAATTTGGTACCTTATAATTTACATAGAAAATATCAAAATAAACAAAATATATTTGTTATTCTTAGTTGTTAATTTCATGTGATTACATTGTATAATAAACCGAATGTTAGTTTTATTTTTTAATCGTTATCATTCCCAAACAAGCTGAAAGGTAAATGACATTATTACCTGTTGGTAAACATAATCCTTTGAATACTTCACAAGTTATCTTTTTAAATTTCATTACATAACGATGACTTTACAAATGTCTCCAATAAAGAGATTGGTCTTTATCTGGCTAGGTTTTACAACTTCTCATTAAATCATATGAAATGAAGATTAATTTTCGTGTATGAAAAAATCCTTTAATATTATTTAAATTTTGTTCGATAATTTTTTTGTATAATTGTTTTTTTTTTTGCATTAATGTGATTTTTCCGAGTCATATGTACTTTCTAAGACTATTTAGACATCACTGATTAATGTTGATTCCCAAAAGAGGGTTGATGTTAGGCAGGCGGCCGGTCGTAAAAACAAATAGCCAAAACTATACACAACATGTTAGGCAGACCCTGGCTATAGTAGCTGGGAAAATTGCCAGGTAGACGAATTTTTTTGTATAATTAAAAGCGAAGTTTCAGAAGCGTTAGAAGAGCTTGCTTCTAACTAAAAAAAAATTACTTCTCAACGGAATTTCACTTGACTTTATGTTTATGTTTTATCAATTATCCTTTTCATTTAGGCCAATCAATATAAAATATTTTGATAATGATAATTCAAGGTTACTATCGTAACAGTTTCTTTGGAAACAAATAACTATGACCTCATGATTGAACTATTAACCTATCATATCAAAGTTCAATAAAAATATTTATTAATTAAACTCCTTTATGTGTGTGATCTTTTAAATTAGACTTCCCTATTGTTTTATTAACGAAATATTGACCGTGAATCGTGATTTTGTTCGAGATGAGAGCTTGTAATATATTTTCTTACTACTACTTCAATTTTACACGATTTTAATTATAACTAATATAGCAGTTATTTCTACAATCGTTATTATTCATAAAACATTCTCATGTCAGCATTCAATTGACTGTAATTTCACTCCATTATCGCCTGGGTGTTCAAAATGTATTTGTCACAGAATGACGTCCAGGAAATAGAATTATTGAAAAAATATATATGATGCTTTCTCATTATAATTTCTGTTTTGGAAATTCTTATGTGTGCCTTGCTCTTATACTCTTGAAGTGCCTTGTTCCTAAGTCAAATAAAATATTATATTAAGTTTTTTTTTATAAATAAAAGAAATAGAATTAGATTCTCGCGTATTTTATGGGATGTCAAAATATTTGTTGCTTTTGAATTAATTAATATTTTCTATTTCTTTGGATTAAATTTAAATTTTGTATTATTTGTTATTACCTTGTTTATTTAAATCATTAATATTGTTTTCGTTTAACGCTTATATGTTAAAACAAAGGGGACGCGTCGATTATTGGGTGATTAAACTAATTTATGTAAAAATTTAAAAGTTAAAAAACTTTAGTGCCAAAAAAGAGTAATTAAAAGAAATCTTTTAAAATTGGAAGATTTTCGAATGTAAACCATTATAAAGAAAAAATTACAGATAGGTACTTAAAAGCTGTAGATGAAAATAATACGATAATTACACGATATTGTTTAAAAAGTCCACAGTCCAATCAAAATATACGTACATCATTTTATTATGAATGAGTTAACACATTCTTGAGGTTTATTAGCAAATTAAATATGTACATGAAATATTTCCCAGGACATGTGACATATTTAATTAAGAAGACTAATTTGTTGATCAATTATTTGTGTATTCAAAATATTAAAGAGGTCATAAGTATACAAACATCACACTTTATAACAACTTTAATTATCTTATGAATAAAGATTACCATTGTAATATATACAGGGTGACTGGTGAATTACTATCGATACTTGAGGACGTGATATTTGACGATCATATATGACAAAATAAAAATTAATATAACATAAATATTAATAAACTTCTAAGTAAAGTTAACCAAAAGTTATGTAATTAATTACGCATCGTGTTAACACCCTACAGATTAGGTATACACACACACACACACACACGCGTGCGGCGGCGTGGTATTGTATCAGCACGCCGCCGCACGCGTCCACACTTGGAACACTTGGAACGTGTCCACACTTTATTTATTTATACGGAAATTTGGTCAAAAATTAAGTACCTATTTTTTTACATAATTCGAATGAGAATCATGTACCGAGTATTCTCCTTAAATATTGATAGTAATTCACCAGTCACCCTGTATATGTATATGAAATGTGACAGTACTAATATATTCACCTTATAAAAATACGTGAGCAAATAATTTTCATATCAAAACAATTAGTCTGCAACTCTCTGTGTAATATTAGAACGCATATTTAATTTCTATATACTACGTTTCGATCTAAAGATCCAATAAATTCTATACAATAATTAGTTTTATATTTAAATATTTCTTCGTAAATAGAACACGAGTATTTCAATAACATAATATATAACAATTATATTAATAGTGATGTAAAATTAGCCATGTAAAAGATGTATATATAAAATAAATGTATTTAGCTGTCTTCATTGAAATAAAATGTAAAATTGTCTTACGTTATAAATACATTGAACGCAGCTAACCAAAAACGCGGGAACGAGTTGGACTAAAAAAAGTTTCTTTCAATTTGGACCAATTAAGAATTTAAAAAAAAAACAATTAATTATTATAACACGCACGCCAAAGATTCTTTACGATGCAATAGTTCTATAGAATGTATAATTTATTTATTTAAAAAAATATCTTTATAGTACGTAATACATTTATATTAAAAAAAATGTATTAAATCCTCTTTCGTCTTCTCAAAGAGCTACATTGATGGATAGTTCGTGATAAAAACTATTACATTATAAAATCGTACGAGCTTGTTGTTATACAAACAGCGTTGATGGTAGCAATTGCAATTATAACTGGCTACCACGATAACCATTATAACCTTGGGAACAAACTGAAGTCTGTGCCTGTCGCTCGAATCAATGATTCCTAGTTTTATTCGTTGACAGTGCTCCTTGACGTATGTTATACATAATATCGAAATACAGGACGTATCATGACTACAAAAAGTTCCTATATGTGTATTAAAAAATAAATACAAGGCTGAATGATGTCAAATAATAATTACAAGGCTGAATGATGTTAAACTATATATATATTCTATTAATGACAATTATTTTTATGTTATTAGGTGAAGGTGCTAAGCGATTTAAAAAAAAATGAATCTTTATTGAAGGAAAATAAGACGTTTTAAAAATTATATAAGCTTGTTTGAGATCATTTAAATTTTAATAAATATTTCTTTCTAATTTATGAATATGTGTGGAGACATAATTTTTATTTACACGCGTACTAGTTACGTAAGCGAATTGAACACAATTGACTTTATTAAAGAGGCTAAGATGGACAATAATCTTAACGTCGAATATGAGAACAAATTTTTTAAAAAGAATACATTAATAAGTACCTACGTTATTTATTTAAAATAACAAAAAAATAAGAATTCATATGCATTTGAAATCCTTAAATGGTGTCATGGTATTTGATAAAAACAATTAATCGTTCCGACATTGAATATTAAATTAAATTTTCAGTTTTCTTTTACAATAAAAATACTTTGAGCGACAGTCAACAATGACTCTTAAATAACAAGAGACTGTGTATTTATTCAAAGTAAACATAGTTTTATTCACACTACGATACCATTGATAAAAATTATAGTACCCTCTCATATACCGTTAATACATGCAGACGGTTTATCTGTCTTAGGATTAAATATATGTACGGAAAACACAACAATAGCTTATCTATTGTATCTTTCAAAACCTATTCTATTATTTTATATACATAAAAAACATAAATTAAGGAGAAAATTTTATCTGAATTGAGTGAGAGTAAAAAAAACATAATTAACTATGGTGCTATGAAAGCAACTTATGGTTTAACATTCATAAATAATCAATTCACAGTGGTTTTTTTTCTTACTTGAGATAAATTATATTGTTGAACGCAAAACATATTTTTAATATTAACTGGCATTTAATATTTTTTTAATCGATATCGGCTTTTATAATTTCCAACCAGTATTTTCTTTCGAGACATCGAAAGAGGTTGGAGGTATGTTAACTTTGAGTTTATTTTTTAATACCTAGAGTTTATATGTAATACTTTAGGATTATTAGTCTTAATTTAAAAATATTGTTATAAATTATTTGCATACGATGGAATGTAAAAAAAATGTATACGTTTAGGTTATGAAATTCTTTAATAATTTTTGTCTCTTTATTTTCTGTACTAAGATAAAAAAAACATGAAATTTAGAATTCTAGGTTCTATAGATATTTAAAAAAACTAATAACTCAGGAAATAGTCAAACGCCAATGGAATCTAATCGTAAAACAGGAGTATTATTGTAACATTACAAACAGTATAGTCACAATTAAGGCAGTATTGCGTAATTATTAGTGTACAATTCTTACAGGCAGGTATAATATACGGCGATCATAAATAGATAAAGTGTGGCCGAATGAGAGATTGCTACTTAAACGAGGGTATATTAAACGAGACTTAAAAGCAAAAAGTTTCAATAGTTGAGAGAGCTCCGCGCGCGCTTCTACCGGCACACGTATTGGTGTATTAAAAAAAAAGACTTTATATGTTGAATTGATCACAAAATGGGACAGAAAAAGAAAAAATCACAGTAAGTTTTATAATAAATATACCTTAAAGAAATTATTTTATTTTTTAAATATCATTACTATTTAAAACATTTATTCTAACGTATCCAAATTGTTCTTTTGTATTTTGAAAATTCAGAGAAAATTATGTTTTTCATTCAAAAATTATTTAACAATCTTTTCACTGAAAAATAGATTAAAGAAATTAATTATTAGTTATTTATTTTAAACATCGAAGCGACTGTGTATTTAATGTATCTTTTAAGAAAGCAACAATTGTGTAGTATTTATGATTTAATTTAGTATATAGATAAGTATTAAAATATAAAATTGTTTAAAATATGTAATAATATCGGAAGGCTAGACTCAAATACAAAATCTTGAATTGGTGACAGCTATTTTTTCTTCTATTATTATTAGAAATTCATACTTACAAACATAGTCGTAGAATTAAAAACTTATTATTATATGGAAATTGTTTTAACTAAAATTTTCTTTCAAACAAAGATTAATTCTTACTTGAAAAGAAACAGAAAGATAAAAGGTTCTTTATAAAAAAATGCTCAATTAATGTAGCATTTTACGTGTTTTGTAAAGCCAGTCCTGATTTATAATTTTACGCTTTATTTAGTAAAATGTTTCCGATAACGATACTAATATTATATTTAATAATGCTACGCGAATATATAAAGGCTTGTGCATTCAAATTTATTAGTTATTTTATTGTTTATATCATAAAATCTTCTTCTTCTCTGGCAATTTCCCAGCTTCAGCCAGGGTCTACCTTAGGTCTGTGTATGTCATAAAATGGGGTTCACAAATATTTTAGAAATTAGGATAACATTTTGTTAACAGAAAGACGAAATTGTATTTTATTTTTCATGCGAAACAAATCTAGAATAATTTTAATCGGTTTAGGTAGGCTTGTCAGTGACATGATTAACCTTACCTTAGTAATAAACAGACAGTTTTCAATGAAAGTAAGTTTTTCGGATAATACGCGTTTTTTTTTAATATTTTATTATTACATAATCCCGTCATTTCGGTTCCTTTAAAGTAACTTTGATTATTTATTGACGGGTTTAAAACAAAAAAAAGGCATATCCGAAAAAAATACTTCTTTTACATGTACATACGAGAAAATATTAGATTATTATAAGACAGTTATCAGTTTTTCATTAATAAACCTCTGTTCATACTAATTACTAAGACTTATGACTTATCTATGTTTATTTAGAATTTGTATAATGTAATCATAGACTAGGAAACGTCTAGTTTTTTTGTTTTGTTTTGCAATAACAAATGCGTCTTAAATGTTATGTAACACATTTTATAGTTACAATCGTACTATATGTGATTTTATTAAACCATTGTAAGTCTGGATATAATGTATTAGCATAACCAGAACTATAAATATTTACGCTATGTCATGATGAATAAATATCAATATATAATTGATATCACCATATGTGAGACGATAGATAAGGTAAATTTGATTAATTATTGATGAACGTCCTCTACTGTACTATCTGATGTGTCCATTATAATTTGAACTCCGTCTTTTAAAACATCGCTAGCGCCTTTGTTTCTCATGATATTTTTTGGTACATAATTTGCTTTAGTCAAAAGATATATGAACTCAGATTTAAGTAAGAAAATTCTTACTGTTATTATATTTTTCACAATAAACTAGTGCCTTTTAAAATATGATTGTAGATATTGATTAACTTGTCAGCTATTCTCATTATTTTGCAGATTCCTATAAATTTTTTCCAGTCACGTAGTTATATTTAAATGTATATATAAATTGTAAAAGCGTTTATATTCTTCTCGTTTCAGGAAAGATGAGGCCCCGCCTGAATCTAATGTATCGTATTTTCAAATTGTGAGTACATTAAAATTGTATTTAAGATTACTATGTCGTGTTGGACTATACAAGAACAATTTAAAGCCTGAACTTATCTGATAACCGAGTCTAATATATGAATTATATAAATACAGTCATGGCTGACATTGAAATTAAAAATAAAATCATGTTAAAATATAAACTAATGAGTAATTAGCATTGCAATGGCGTCGTTATGTTGTAATACGGTTAATTTTCTTTATCATAGTTCCGCTACGCTACTTGGTGTGAACTATTCGCTACAATTATTGGTGTGATCGCTGGTTTATTAAGCGGTGGAGGTGTTTGCTACAATCTGGTACAGTTTGGAGAGCTGAGCACATCATTTGTTGAGAGAACAGCTTACCAGGAGCAATGTTCAAGCTATCTGCCAGTAACATCGCTGTTCGGTGGTGGAAGACGACTGTAAGGGCTTGAACATTTGATTTAGAATTTTATACCTTTAAGCTATAGCATCATTTGTCTTCAATTCTGTTTATCTTTCTCCTAATATCACGTAATAGATTCTGAAATGAAAGTCACTATTTAAGAGTAGACTTAATGATTAATTGTCGTATTCTTCTTATAAAGATGTAATGCAACTTATGAAGAAAATATGAAAGCTCTCGTTGAGGATGGTGAATCTATGGCCATTGGCATGTTCATAAGCATTGGCATTTCTTTAATCCTCTGTATGGCATCCGTTGGCCTGATAAGCTGGAGTGCAATGAGACAGGTAACTAATTCGTTTTAAATCCAATACTTCATAACAAGCAATTAACATAATACTTATTAAATAGTGTATTTATATTGCGTTTATTTTTATCGCATTTTATTGACAATAATCAACATTTATGAATTTAAAGCGTAAATGAATATTGTAAAACAAGTATATGTCATAGTTTTTTACAATATAAGGATATAAATAACTTATTGTTGTTTATTTGTATGTTGTAATTTATTGTTTTGATTCTATATTCGTCTTGTAATAGATTTTTTCAATGTTTAATTTATTATTAAAGCGACTGAATCTTTTACAGACAGAAATCGAAATATTAAATAATTTTTTTTATATAAGCTAGTAAATAAATTGAAAAGAATCGTTGGTGGAACAAAACATGTATAAGGTAGTGATGCTAATAGAAAGAAATTTCAATAAAATATTAATAAATAAAACCTTTTTCATAATAACTTTATCATATACTGGTTACGACCAACGATTAAGTCATTTTAAATATTTATATTTAATAGCACCGATCCATATACATGATGCTATTAATTCACAAGTTTTCCATTTTTTAAACTGTAATAAATTTTATTATTGTATTTCTATTCTTTTAAAATATCTCTTAATTATTAAAGAAATAAAACTGTGTAGTGTTAATGGAATATGATTTTAATTTTATAAACGTTTATATATTTTTCATCACCAACAATCTAAGATACTTAATATATTGAGACAACTTTTTAACTTCTGCCAACACAATTGTCTTAATTGGTAGCCTTGACTCATATTGTATTTTAGATGTTCGAATCAATTTATGAACATAACTAAACATTCACTAATACACACACATTTAAAATCAATTGATTTCATTTGAAAATATTGTCATATGTTCAATAGTTCAAGCAAATATTACAAGCATTACCGATTGGCTGACCAATTGCGTGTATTTTACAAGTGAAATTTCTTATACTGTTGTATATTTCTTGTGTCTTATATTTCTTGTACTGTTTCAGATTACTAGAATCCGTTTACTATTCCTGGAGGCGGTAATGCGTCAGGATATGGCATGGTTCGACACAGATTCCGAGTTCAACTTGGCGTCGAAAATGTCTGAGTAAGTTTTTTAAGTATTGGCTTTACCTCGATTGAACTACTCCATATAAAAAAAAGAAAATTAAAACAAAAACTTTATGGTCATTGTTAGTGCTATATAATAGTGTAAATTTTTCAGGAATATGATGAAATTAAAAGAAGGTATGGGTGACAAGCTGAGCGTTGTATCAAATTTGGTGGGAACAGCTGTTATTTGCCTTTGCATAGCATTCCCGATGGGTTGGGAGCTAACACTGGCCTGCGTTACCGTCGTGCCATTCTCTATAGCAGCCTCCGTTATATTATCAAATGTAATTAATTACGATATAAACTACATTTAATATGTTTATGTATTGTATCCATTATTAATCTAATTATTTAATGTGTCGTCTTAGTATCAAACAAAGTCTTCCATTCGTGAAATGGAATCCTACAGTCAAGCTGGGAAACAAGCTGAAGAAGTTCTGAAATCTGTCAGAACTGTTGTTGCATTTGGAGGAGAAACTAAAGAAGTTGACAGGTAAAGAACTGACTTAGACATGAAAAGAAAAAAATAAATAACTACCGTACAAGAGCTAGTGGCTGTGCTGCTCCAAATACAAGTTAATTTAAGTATATGATATAGATGAGACAAGTTTCCTCACAATTTCCCAGGTATTGCAAGTTGTTAGAACCTGCAGAGCGTTATGGCCGCAAGAGAGGTCTATACACCGGTCTAGGAACAGGGTTTAATTGGGTGCTGACATATTCTTTAAACGCAATCGGTCTCACTTACGGCACACGACTTGTACTTGCTGATTTCGACAAACCCACTGATGAAAAGAAATATCTTGTCGGCGTCGTGTTCAGTGTAATTATTACAAATTACCTTAGTTTTATTATATGACATATGTACATTCAATATTAAAGTCATTGTTTTGCAGATTCTTTTCAGTGTATACATGGCAACTCAGTCCATAACATTTTGTGTACCCCATGCTGAAGTGTTCGCTAACGCGCGTGGTGCTGCCGCTAGCATATTCAAGCTCCTGGACAGAGTTCCCACAATTGATGCTCTGGATAAAGGAGGAGTGTCTCCTCGTCGAGTTATTGGCGAGATAACATTAGAAGACGTCTACTTTAGCTATCCTTCGAGGCCAAACGTTAAGGTGTGATTTATATTATATGGTCTAGGTTCAGAATAGATTGTGCCCATTCAGTGATGTAAGCGATTTTATATGACTTTTATGATGTACATAAATATTATTTTTATATCCAGGTATTACAAGGATTCTCCTTGCATATTAAAGCTGGTGAATGTGTCGCTCTCGTGGGTTCATCTGGATGCGGGAAATCCACAATTTTACAGCTCTTGCAGCGGCTTTACGAACCCCATCTTGGCACTGTAAAGCTCGATGGCAAAAATATCAAAAATTTAAATCTTGGTTGGCTTCGATCATCGCTCGGTAAATTGATTAACTAAAAGTATTCTTCATAATATTTGATTATATGTTTTTATTAAATAACGTTTGTATGATCAGGTGTAGTTGGACAGGAGCCAGTTTTGTTCAGGGGAACAATTTTCGACAACATAGCTATAGGTTGTCCTGAAGCTACAAGAGAGGATGTACAGAGGGTTGCCGAAATGGCCTACGCCCACGATTTTATTACCCATCTACCACATGTTAGTACTTTCTATAAAATCTACTACAACTCCTACCACTATATTTTGTGATAAAATTTTGTCATAATATTTTAAAATTACAAAGTGAATTTGTTTTAACGAATTTTAAGATACGAATAACTGTACCAAAATTAATATTGTATTAGGCTTTAATATAATTTCTATAATCACACGTAATTATTTCAGAGTTACGACACGGTGATAGGTGAAAGAGGTGCTTCTCTATCAGGAGGTCAAAAGCAGAGAATAGCTATCGCCCGATCTTTACTTCGTGAACCAGCAGTCCTTCTACTTGATGAAGCTACATCAGCACTTGATCCTCACTCCGAGAGGCAAGTACAAGCTGCCTTGGACCGGGCAAGTGAAGGAAGAACAACACTCATGGTTTCACATCGGTAAGTTATTATTTGATTTGAAGATTAATAATAAAAATATTCAACATATCTCCAAAGAATAAGATACCAATCATCAGAAGCTAAAAAGGGTCTATACCTTTTTTAGTATCTAATACATTTTTGGTAAACAAAACCTGAAAATAGGTAATACATTAATATTGATGAAATAAATTTTAAAATTTGGTAAACAATAGTCCCGATGACTCTGATGAAATCAGAGTATTGATTATAATCTTTTTTTTTGTAACAGTTTATCAACAATAGTGAACGCTGATCGTATTATTTGTATGGACCAAGGCGCGATCGTCGAACAAGGGACCCACGAAGAACTCATGAAGACCAAAGGTACCATGAGAAACATATACCAAAAACCTGCTTACATGTTTTATCTATCATTAACTTGATGTTTTATAAATTACAGGTTTTTATTACAAGCTTGTGACCTCTGGCAATGAAAACAAAGAACCAGACGTAATCGAAACTTTGCCTGAAGAAGAGAACGATGCAACAGAAGAAGGAGAATTGACAATTTCGAACCCAATATCTCGAGTGGAGGTTAAAAGACGGTCTACTCGGAGAATAGCTAGACATCATTCTGTTAAAAGAGGTAGGGACTTGGGCGTTTTAAGACTTGATAGTTAATAACAAAATCTTACAATTTTATACTTCTTTCAGATTCCCACGATTGGATGACACCTAGGGGTTCCATCTCTTCAGTGATGTCGACAGGTTTGCAAAGTTTCATATACAACAGTGATTTTGATGATGAAGACGAAAAGGACGACGAAGACGTTAGTAGACAATTCAGAACTATTTATTATATTAAGATGAGGCAGGAGTTTATGCTAATTATGAATAATATTTCAAAAATTCCAGGAGGTTAAACCTGTAAGCGATTGGCAATTACTGAAGTTAAATGGTCCAGAATGGCCTTATATCGTTGTAGGATCGATTGCCGCGTTTGTACAAGGTTCCTGTTTTCCAGTTTTCGCTCTCATTTTCGGTTACACGTCCGGTGTAAGTTTTCATATATATTTTAATATCGAAATATATAATGAAAGTTTCTACAATATATTGATATTTATTTCAGATATTCATTTTACCAGACCGCAACGACATAATTTACTACGCAGATTTTTATTCTGGCATGTTCCTCGTGGTAGCGGCAATAGCTGGTATATCTATGTTCCTTCAAAGTACAACATTCACTCACGCAGGACTGAGAATGACTAGTAGATTAAGACAACAATACTTTTCGGCGCTACTTAAACAAGTAAGAAAAATTTGTTAAGTAAATTTCTTATTATTTATTACAAACTAGCCGCGCCCCGCGGTGTTACCCGCGGATTTCCGGGATTTCCAGGATGTAAAGTAGCCTATGTGTTATTCCTGGACGTCAGCTTCCTGTATACAAAATTTTATCAAAATCGGTTTAGCCGTTTGAGCGTAAAGAAGAACGAACATACACACACACTCACAAACTTTCGCAATTATAATATTAGTAGAATAGTAGGATAGTTGACCTTCATTTTTACATTAAATTGCTATTTCCGTGTTAAAATGCAATGTTATATTTAGTCTTGAATCTTTAAATTTCATAACTGTTTCTGAACTGTAATATTTTAGTTCCCTTAAGACGAATTCTCACCTCCAAAACTCAGAAAGCTCCCACTTTTCCGTCCGTATACCTAACAATACGCTAATCTTATGTTATATGGTTTCGAAACAACTAACTCATGAATCACGAACAACAATATACTGATTATTTATAATCGACATACGGTCAAACATACAAAGCCAGATGATATCAAAGAAACAAAGATGCCATAGTACTAAATATATTTCAAAAACTCGACATAAGCTGTCCCAGCAAAACAATATACACATTTATATATAACTAGCTGCGCCCCGTGGTGTTACCCGCGGATTTCCGGGATTTCTGAGATTTCCTGGATGTAAAGTAGCTTGCATGTTATTCCTGGATGTCAGCTTCCTGCATACAAAATGTTATCAAAATTGGTTCACCCGTTTCAGCGTGAAGAAGTAACAAACATGCACCCACACTCACAAACTTTCGCAATTATAATATTAGTAGGATACCTATAACAAAAAAAAATAAGCCACTATAGTAAATATTGCTTTTTATTAGGAAATTGGTTTCTTTGACAAAGAATCGAATACCGTGGGAGCCATGTGTGCACGTCTGAGTGGTGATGCAGCAGAGGTTCAAGGAGCAACTGGATTGAGGATAGGGCTCATCCTTCAAGGCTGCAGCTCAGTAATAGTTGGCTTCATCATGGCTATCATATATAACTGGAAGCTAACTTTAGTTGGCACAGCGTTCCTACCACTGGTTAGTAAAATCTCAGTTACGCACTAATAAAAGTGAAATTGATATTATCGTATTCTCAAAATATATTTTATAATAACTAAAAATTACTATGCATGACTTTTATATTAACAACAATTGTATACTAATATTTTCTTCGAATTTAAAGGCAGTTGTTACGAAACGTGTAAGACAATTATTGACTGAGTTATATTTGTTGAATTCGTTACTGTCAAATATTATAAAATCAAAATCATTAAATATGTATATTATGTAAATTTTTTTCGTAAAGATTCTAGTTATATCAGTCTTTCATTCCATTGATTTTTTTAATTAACCGGTAAAGTTAACAAATCGAATAATTTCACAGATGGTAGGTAGTATATGGCTAGAAGGTATAATTTCACAAAAGTCCCAAGCTGATGAACGCGCCGCTATGGAGTCTGCTACTGCAATTGCAACTGAAGCAGTCATAAGCATCAAAACTGTGCAAAGCTTAGGTTGGAAAACTTTTATATGCAATACATTTGACGTGAAAACTAAAGAAACTAACTCTATTTATATTTATCTTGCCCTCAGGTGTTGAACATACATTCCTAAAAAGATTCCACGAAGCTTTAATAGAATCGTGTGCAGCTATTTCGAAGAAAACCAGATGGCGTGGGCTAGTATTAGGTCTTGGTGTGTACGTGCCTTTTATGTCGTACTGCAGTGCCACAGTATATGGTGCAGTTCTAGTAGCATACGAAGGATTAGAATACAAAATTGTTATGCTGTAAGTATGACGCTATTTGAATAGCACTTAAATTCAATTCCCACTTGAAGAACAATTTTTTTAATTGCTTACTTAAAATTATTGCGTTTGTATTTGATTTTTACGATTAAAAATATTTTTTCTAAATCTAATTACAGTGTAAACGAAGCACTTATGTATGGAGCATATATGTTAGGTCAGTCATTAGTTTACGCACCAAGTTTCAACTCGGCCAAAGCTTGCGGTGCGAGAATTTTATCTATAATTAACAGAGAACCTAGAGTTAAAACTGAACCTGGAGTTAAGGATAGAAAGGAATGGGTAAATATTGCTATTGTACATTACATAAATATTTTAATATTTTACCAATTTTGTAAATTAATTACTGTATAATTCTTTATCAGGTAGCTACAGGAAATTTCAGCATCAAAGACGTTGAATTCAGTTATCCTACACGACCTCACCAGAGAATACTCAAGGGCATAGATTTAAAGGTCGAAGCAGGAAAAACTATAGCACTAGTCGGTTCATCAGGATGTGGCAAATCTACTATATTACAACTCATGCAAAGATTCTATGACCCGGATACTGGCAACTTTGTAAGTAATTACATTTATAAAGAAAATTATATTTTCAGATTTCCAAGTAATATGACATCGCGACATCAAACTGACAATATTTGAATATTAAAGATATTAACTTACCTATACTTTAAACTAAATTATAAACTTTTGAAAAGTTATACTCAATCAAAATGGGTAATTTAATGGGATCTTTGAAAACATTACATTTGGATCTCAGGAGTAACGAAAAACCAACATTTGATGCTAAGAAAGGTTTTGGTTATACCCGAGCTCAAAGACAAATGATCGCTAAGGAAGAAGATTTAATCTCCGCTCGTATTCCTCCCAAGTTCAGAGATTACTGCGCTCATCTCTTGTTGGACTATCAAGTTTGTCGTTACAAGAACGTACCGTGGATGTACAAGTGCCATCATGAGAGACATGCCTATTTGAACTGCGAACACGATGATTATGTTATAAGAATGCAAGAATTCGAGAGGGAAAGGAGATTGAGAGAACGTGAATTGAGACTTAAAAAAGATAAAAAATAAATCACATATAATATTCACTGATTTGTTTCTTTGTAGCGTGTAATCTCTGAATAAAAAAAAACAGCAACATTCGGATCAACTAAAATAATTTTATCTCGATATATGTTCAAAATCATTCTAACGTTTAGGTTTCCTATTTCACTTATAATTTATCTTTACTATCATATCTTAGAAATTATAAGTAGCGATTAATTTACTAAGCATTAAGGCTGGCAAATGAATAATGGTTTAATGAGATATCGTTGAATACAGGAATTGGACGGGCGGGATACTCGCATGTGCCTCACCTTACCGAGACTCCGACGTCAACTGGGCGTTGTTCAACAAGAGCCCATTCTGTTCGACAGGACCATAGCCGAGAACATCGCATACGGCGACAACAACCGTAAAATAAGCACTCACGAAATCATAGCTGCAGCTAAAGCAGCTAATATACACAGCTTTATAGTATCATTACCTAAAGTGAGCAGATTTTTCACATGTTTAGAATTTAAGGTATATATTATAACCATTATAAAATTATGTAATCTTCCAGGGTTATGATACCAACTTAGGTTCAAGTGGAGCCCAACTATCGGGAGGACAGAAACAACGCGTTTGCATCGCAAGAGCACTCATTAGATCACCTCGGCTATTGCTATTGGATGAAGCGACATCAGCTTTGGATGCTAACAGTGAAAGAGTGAGCTATGATAGACAATATCTTTTATCCATATTCAATATATCCACAAATTAACATGTTTAGGGGAAGTATGTTTTGTGTCAAAGAAAGTAATTAAGTATGCAAAATTTTGTATTTTTTTCAGGTGGTGGCAGAAGCCTTAGAAAAAGCTGCCAAGGGTAGAACCTGCATCACTATAGCACATCGCCTCTCCACTATCAAAGATGCAGATCTAATTTGCGTGTTAGATAAAGGTTAGATGTCAATGTGAAAAAGACACCAGATATATTTTATTTCGTTTATTAATATTATTATACGTACTTTTTGCAGGCAAAATCGTCGAAAGGGGTACGCATACAGAATTAGTCAATGCAAAAGGCTATTATTGGAAAATGTGCAAGGGTCAGAACATGGCGTAGAAATCAGTCTTGGATTATGCTAAATACTCAAAAATCTGCCCAAAACGTGGAAGAATACTAATGGTTTTAAACGGTTTATCGTTACTCAAAGTTCTGACTTGAAATCAACCAAATGAAATATTTTGTAAGATAAATTTACTTATCAAACAGTATTCGTTGAATGCCAACAAGCATTTAGTATTATTGTATTAACGTCTAAAAACTATCGCTCTGCGTCGCCTTTATTGTTATTTTTAAGTACTTTTTAATATTCTTAAAATAATATTATGGATTACTGTAAGGAGGTTTGTTAAATAAATGCCATTGTTTTTTTAAACACGTTTTTTTTTCACGGCTAAATAGATCGATATTTAAAAAGTATAAACAAAGAACTGCTCACAACATATCTCCAATCCGCGTTACTTTACCCTGTATGTTATCTCATCGTAATCCACGGAGCATTCAAAGCTGTTTCCATCTTAAATAAAATCACATTTAAAACAAAGAAATTTAATAATTACTTTCCAGTTATCTCAAAACAGCTCCAAATACGAAATCTAAGACCAAAGTACAGTCGCATAGGGGTCATCGAAAACTATCACTAAAAGTATCGCCATAAAAAAATCTCATTTAAAAAGGACGGTTGAATTTTTACGTGTCGCTGCAAACTGTACTCCGCTCCTAACAGTAAAAACAACAGAAAAATCAAACTGTACAATACATAAGTACATTTATTACATTAAAAATGTTTTAACTTAATCACATATTTGGTTTTACTTAATATAAAGTTCGACATAAAACTATGGCAAGTAGAGTTCATGATCAAAATATATTTCCTGTAATTAAAAATATTGAATACACTATAATATTATATATTTAAAAAAAACCTAGAAAATAGTAATAATATACCAAACCGTTCTGTAACTACCCGCGTCTGAATATATAGACAATCAAGTGAGCAAAAATCATCAGCTGATCAGTGTTTATGTGAGTTTAACTACATTTAATACCAATTACATTAATATATAGACATCGACATTTATATACAACTACATGATTGAACCACTTTATGCAGTATGTTTTCTTAAAATATACAACTACATGATCGAACCACTTTATGCAGTATGTTTTCTTAAAATATACAACTACATCATCGAACCACGTTATGCAGTATGTTTTCTTAAAATATACAACTACATGATTGAACCACGTTATGCAGTATGTTTTCTTAAAATATACAACTACATGATTGAACCACGTTATGCAGTATGTTTTTTTAGAATATACAACTACATCATCGAACCACTTTATGCAGTATGTTTTCTTAAAATATACAACTACATCATCGAACCACGTTATGCAGTATGTTTTCTTAAAATATACAACTACATGATTGAACCACGTTATGCAGTATGTTTTCTTAAAATATACAACTACATGATTGAACCACGTTATGCAGTATGTTTTTTTAGAATATACAACTACATCATCGAACCACTTTATGCAGTATGTTTTCTTAAAATATACAACTACATCATCGAACCACGTTATGCAGTATGTTTTCTTAAAATATACAACTACATGATTGAACCACGTTATGCAGTATGTTTTCTTAAAATATACAACTACATGATCGAACCACTTTATGCAGTATGTTTTATTAGAATATACAACTACATCATCGAACCACGTTTAATGCAGTATGTTTTCTTAGAATATACAACTACAAGATCGAACCACTTTATGCAGTATGTTTTCTTAAAATATACAACTACATGATTGAACCACGTTATGCAGTATGTTTTCTTAAAATATACAACTACATGATCGAACCACTTTATGCAGTATGTTTTCTTAAAATATACAACTACATGATCGAACCACTTTATGCAGTATGTTTTATTAGAATATACATTAATCACTATACTATACTTAGACATAGAATACGTCATACATATATAAATATAAATAATAAATAAAAATAGTCTTAAAGTATAAGAAATTATTACAATTAAAAAATTAACCGAAGAGCACCAGTCACCATCACTCACTCAAAACCACGTGTAATGATATACAAAAAGATTTCAAGATTTAAACAATTAATTTTATACGATATAATAATTACACCTAATACATGCTAATATTGAGATAATGTTAAACACTAACGATGATTTAAATTTAAATTATTCAATATTTTATATAATAAATAATTCAAATTTAAAAAAATTACACAACTATTAAATGTCGTACATTTATGTTATTTCACGTCGTTACCACTAATAACACTAATATCTAAATAGCTTACATTAAAATGTTATACATATACGTATTCTAAGTAATATAAACATCAAATGTATTAAATTCTACACCATATAGTAACACTAGAGAAATCGAAATTCCAATATATATATTAATTAATAAAATTATTACCAAACACTGGCAACACAATCTTCATAATGTCAACAAAAGATTCCTTAAAAAACAATACCATGTCATAAAATCTATGTAGTATAAGAAAACTTCTAATTAAAATTAAACTGTTTGAAATAACAACAACGGTACGCTTATTATACGTTTCAATCGTCACACTACATACTTAGCGTTAACAGTTTCTATTCATTATTATTATTATTATTATGGGAAAAGGGGGCAAACGAGCAGACGGCCTACTTGATGTTAGGTAGTTACCGTCGCCCATTGACATCTGCAACGTAGATATGCAGATGTGTTGTCCTTGTTTGGGGTAAATGGGGAGTTAATGGTGGGAAAGGGAGGGAGAGGAAAGGGTGGGAAAAGGGAAAGGGCAACCGGCTGTCTCACTCACCGAACGAAACGCAGCCATTAAAGACTACTTCACGCCGATCTTCTGTGAGAGGGTGGTACTTCCCCGGTCGAGCCAGCCCATGTTCGAGCTGTAGTAACTTACCACAGCTAGGCTCTACCACCTCTAAAATTAATTAGTACATTAGGTTAATGAAAGAAAAATGGGAAACGATCGTATTTACTGACGACACAAACATATAATAAGCGTACCGACAATAATATAATAGAAAAATAATTCAAATCATATCCAAATAAATCTTCGTATTAAAAAAAATGATAACGTAAATAAATCTATACAACACAACAAACAACTGCGTATATCAATAGCTTCACTTAATAAAATGTCGAATTAAAAACGACCCTCGAAAAATATCACATACTTTTCACTAAATGGAAAAAAAATCAAAATAAATATATAAAAAAAATACTAAGAGGCGATATAGAGAAACTTCGTGTCTATGATGGCACATTTAAAAGTACAATGTACATACGAATACCAAGTATACAATCACTACGTATAAATATATGTATGGAATATTTTATATATTGGATTATCTCCTACCTATATTAAATTTTAACCAGAATAACCAAAAACATTAATAACACATCACATATATATAGTTAAATCAATAGAATCATAGAATCACAACCATTTAGTATGGTTGGAATTATAATGATGCACTACGATTAAGAGACGACATAAAAATACATAGTTCACAAAATAGCCATAGAAAATGTCTCAAATAAAACAACAAACAAAAAAACATATAATATTGCACGTAATAATAAATTATTTTTATATGAAATGGTAACTTATTAAAAGTTGTGCATAAACAATGTTTATTATATATGAGATCCGGTATGGTTAGTCATTTGACCGACCAAATGGGTTCCAAAATATATAGGACCCATATAGAAATCGAGACGTACACCTAAATACAATTCTTAGCCCGTCGAACAACAAAATTTGGCATTCATTTGGTTAATGTTGTAATTCCAGAGCTGAGTTTGCTTATAATAACGATTACATTCATAAAATTGTATAATAATTATTCGCTATAATAATCAATAGCGTTTACGGTAACTCATTCGATCCGTAACGACCACGAGATGTTTAACATATTGTGGCGAATATATTGTGGCGAATGTGTTGTGGCAAGTTTACTGTGGCGGCATGTTGTGGTTCTGCTGGTGGTTAGCCGGCGGATAGTTTAGCTGTCTGTTACCCTCGTACATGATGGACGACCGATTCTGCATTTGCTCTGGATTCGTGTAAGGATCCTGCACCTGTGGAGTCTATTCGTTTAGATATCACTATTTATACTTATTTTTATATTTACAATATACATAGACGAGATCTAGCCCCAATCTAGATGAAATCTAGATTTTCTAGATCATATTGAAATAATATTCGCATCGCAATTGCCAGTCCAATACTAGTTAGGAATGGAGTTTACCAAGAAGTAATTTTTCCACCACAGATTAAATATATTAGCATAAAAACTGTTAAAGTGAATCGCCGATAGTGGTCCTACATATGAGAACAAATTTAAATGTTCACAGTTGATCTGCCAATAAAACATTATGGTACGATAGTAATTTGTATTGTAAAATAATGAAATATTCTTTCTTTTCGACTTCGACCCCTAAATTTTTCGGCTTAACATTTCATTTGAAATATAACTTATTAAATTTTTTAAATCTTGGTGAGTTGTATGTGAATGTTTTTTACTTGTTATTCTTCATGACGTATGTGTGTAATTGCGTTGGTGCATATACCAAATTTTTACTTTAATAAACAAAAGAAAAAATGGGATAAATCAAGAAATGAAATTAAGAAAATAATTATAATATCGAAAATATTATAAATCAGGGGTGTAGAATTTACCTTGTGGTATTTTCAGCACAGCGGGACCGAGTGCGGCAACGTTATGAGAAGAAAAAGTATGCTGGGATATAAAAAAAATATGACCATGTTTCGGATATGATCACGTAACCACGCCACAGTATGATCACGTGAACACGCCACAGTATGATCACGTAATCACATGTCATCAGCATACTGATCCTTCGCGTTATATATGTATGAACTCACGTTGATCACCGGCTGCAATATACCGAGCCTCGCGAACAGCAGCTGTTCCTTCACCTGCCGCAGCTCCTCCTGCTGCCTCACGATCATCTGCTGCAGCTCGCGATGGGTCCGCTGCAACTGCTCCTGCCACCGCCACTAGCTATCACAATGCACCACGCCACGCCCTCGCCACACACACAACCATAGCCACAACCACACCAAAACCCATTCAAACTTCAGGATGGAAATAAAAACTAATAAAACAATAGAAATCAATCGACAAAAAATAAACGACAAACAAATCATACTTTAATGGTTTTTTTCGTAATAATTTACTCTATGAATCTGTTGTCTGCGTAATCTTGTGGTGTTTGATTCTATATTCATATGTACTACATGTCATATTTCATCCATACACCTTTATTTGTGTTGAGAGTATATTACCACCAGAAACGTTTGAGGTAGAGTAAAATAGGAAGCGTATTGACGATATTTGAGCATGAAAATTAAATCCATTTGGAAAATTTATTTGTTTTTCATTAAATACGACTATATACGAGCTGATCGTCGTACTTGAGGATAATTTTGGTGTTGATTTTCGTCTATCCCATTTACGTTCAAAAAAATATTAAACGACAATTCTTTATAAGCATTTTACGTCAATGTATAGCCTTTGATATATATCAAGGAATATTCCTTCACTGCCTAAATACGTTTTTGGTGGTTTTAACTCCCATAAATCGAAGCTCACCTGTAACTGGGCTTGATCCTGTGTGACAATCACCGGTATGGGTGGTAGAGATAGCGGCAGAACAGCAGGGACGCCGACAGCACCCACGTAAGGAGCGGGTTCCAAGTATTGAGCGCCGATACCGTGTTGCGGCACCAAAGCTGGTTCAGGCAACCTCTGCAACTGGAAGAATAGTATTATCATTGATATAGGAAAACAAACAGAATATATATATTACAATATATTTGAAAACTATTTTCCAGAAAATATTCCACGGTTATCTTGACATGGAGTGTAATATTAGAAACTACAAATTATATTACAAAAAAAATATGTAAAAAAAGCATATATATAGAAGAATAGTATTATCAATCATTTATGGGAAAACATACAGCTTGTATTACAATAAATTAATTCGTCAATGAAAACTATTTGCCAGAAAAGATTCCGCGGTTATCTTAACATGGAGTGTATTTTTGGAAATTACAAATGATATTAGAAGAAAATTATAAAAAGCATATATAGCAACAACATTAACAACGAGGAGTATCGAACAGACATTTTACTACAATAACACTGGCACACAAAAAAATTGTTTGTACGCCAGGCTCCATTTATCTAAGGGCATATTTTTCGTTCCGCTGAAAACGAATTGACGAGTACAATGAAGAACGGTGAGAACGTTTTCATCAAGACATAATTAAAATGGAGACTAGGTATCAAGGAAATAGGAATATCAACATGATGTCAAGTTCTTTTCAAAATTGGAGGTTGAGGTGAGCATTTAACGCGAGTTAGATAGGGGCTCCTTAAACCTACACCGGGCTCGTAAGTCCCAGTCACTGTTGAAGCTCCTCTTCCTGCAACGCGATGGACCCGGCACCCGCACGGTGAATCCATTGGATGATAAGAGGTTTCGTCTCTCTAATTTATATTAATCAATAAACACTCTTTGTATTTGAGGTTCAAAGTTTGTTTTGTTTTCAATTTAAAACACAATTTTCTTCATATTCAGACAAATTACTTCCCTCAATAGTATTAAGATACTTTTAAAAACTGTTTAATTAACTATTTCAGGAAATGTCTCTTTGTTTGTGAGTTATGTAAAGTTATGTAAAAATTCACCGTCTGTTTCATTTCAATCTCATCATAAATGAAAACAATAATCGGCAATAAAGGAACTAGCCTAAGAAGTAATCAATCAGGAAGTATATTATTCTGCAACTAGAAAGGGATCGATGAATGATGAATAGAACCATCTCTTTCAGTCTTGATTAACATACAAATGTGAAAATATTTGGTCAATACATAGTGAATTTAACATTTCGAAGATAATAATCAGCGGCTCTCTTTACGGTATTAGTTAATAACAAAACTAAAATAACTTTTGAGCAATTGAAGTCTAAGTATTGGATAACAGAATAAAATAAGTTATAGGCCGCACAACTTAAGTAAGGTTCGACTTGTGTTACGATTTTATTTAACAAAGAAAACTGCTGTTTCTCTTGAGATAAAGTTACTGCCTTTCGACCTACCAGAATCAGTAGTCGCCTAGTGATTAAAGGACCACCTCTCGTGCAGGAGAGCGCGGGTTCGATCCTGGCAAGTACCAATGTGATTTTTTCGAGTAATATGTACATTTTAAGAGGATTTAGACACCAATGACAGACGGTGAAGGAAAACATCGTGAGGAAACATGGACTTATAATTTCACTATTATAAGTTTGAAAACACCAACCCGTCTTGAGCTAGCGTGGTGATTAATGCTCAAACCTTCTCCATGTGAGAGGCCTTTGCTTAGCAGTGGGCACTGATAGGCTGATGACGATCACAACCTATCAGAACCTCGACCACAGAGCGGACAGAAGAATCGCTAGCAGCAAGGATACGACTGCGTTGGAGTCAAATAAAAACTAAAAGCAACTTGGAATTAAAGATAATCATGGAAACAACATATTGATCATAATAATTGTATGTTACCAATTTTCAATACGAATTCGTTTAAAATATTTGTCAACACCTACAACTTTCTTTAAATTGTCATCAAAGTATAGAAGAATATAAAACTGAGGCTTATTTACAGGGAAAAATGGTTGTATGTTTGATAAGAAAGGATTGATTGAGCAAAATTCCCTTTTCAGTTGAAACAGCTGTTTGAAAGCAATTATTATATTTTATGTAAACCAACGGACGTATCTAAGACGTTTAGTTTGAAATTAGTCAGAGAACTTATTTAAAGTAAAAATCTAGGATATTAGTCATATTATTTATTTAGTCAGTGGTGGCCTAATAGTTAAAAGGCCCGCCTCTTATGCAAGAGGGCGCGGGTTCGATCCTGGCCCGGGCAAATACCAATGTGATATTTCCGATTACGAGTCACAGATACTTTCTAAAAGTATTTAGATATCACTGATTAATGTATTCCCAAAAGAGGGTTGATGTCTGGTTGGTTGTAAAAAAATAATTAGCCAAAACTATTTAAAACATCTTCTGTGGAAGAAAAGAACATGTTGTGAAGACCCCCTACATAAAGTGGGCAAAAAAAAATTTGTCATATTATTTGATGCCGTATTATTTGGTATCCAATCAAACACCAATTCAGAAGAAATGGACCAATCAAAACAAAATCACTGTTATCACACGTGAAATACCCAGAAATATCATAAAGTGAACTGATATACAAAATTCGCTATAAATTATAACAAATATAAAACTCGCCCAACAATCATAACTAAAACAAAAACGAGAAAGTCGTTAGGTATACATATATTAATATTTTAAGACACACATGATCACTGGCGTTGACTCCAACAAAATAACCAAAAAGAAACATTTCATATTCAGAGACAAAAAAAGATTAATAAAAAATTGATATCGTAACCACATACCTCCTGCGAGCTATTCCTCTGCGAGGATCGTGATCCACCGGATACGGAAGTGGTGTCTGAACCAGTGGTGTACAACAAGTATGAGGATCGTGGTGGCCATGTGGAACTGGCTGTGGTGATGGCAGTTCCGAGCGTGGCCACCGTGGCACTTGTACTACCTGATGTGGCAGCGGACTTGACTGATGCCAACTAATAACATTTCTTAGATTAATACAATATATATAAGGATCAAATGAAATTAATTATGTATATGTTTAGTCCAGTCCAGGTTCAAATCTTTATTTTCCATAATGAAACCACTCCGATATATATTTAGTTAGCATGTATTATGTATAATATCAAATTAATTTTTAAATTCAACTCGAAACAGCACTATCGTGTCTGATAGAAGATAAGGGAACAAATTTCAATCCCTACTAATATTATAAATGCGAAAGTAACTCTATCTATCTGTCTGTTACGCTTTCACGCCTAAACCACTGAACTGATTTCAATGAAAATTGGTACAGATATAGTGTTGACTATGAGAAAGAACAGGATAGTTTTAATCCCAGAATTTTGAAAGGTTCTCTTGGAAACGCGATATAACTGAACTCCACGCTGGCGGAAAGCTAGTGCATTATAATCGTGGATCTATTGAAGTTTTATGAACCTTGGACATAGAATTGTATGAAGTGGCGAAGGCGTCGCTTGCCTCTGACATATATGATGGTGACACTGGCACCATAGCGTCCTCGGTAGAAGGATCCTTCATGGACGATCCATTATGATCACACTCACGTACAGGCTCCTCTGTTTCTGTCCGCTCCTGTTTTGTGCTTTTTATTATATCGGCATAACTGAAATCATGATTATCACGTTTAATATCTCGCAATTAGTTTATCGATTTACTTGATTTAGCAGTAAAGCTATATAGGTGATATATGTATGAACAATCTTTAAGTTTGAGGGTAGATAGCTATTTGAAGATTTCTCTATATTAACTTCTGAATAATATCAATTATATGATAGCAATTATTCAATCAATACCTAACGACTCGATGTGTGCAAACAACGAATTCTGGTTTAGAATTCCACTGATGGTATGTTATATAAAAACGTGTTTGCAGCCAGATCCACTGTTGACCCTTTGTCAGAAACCTGTAGTAGCACGAAGTCAGCTCGCCTTTTTGCATCACTAAAAAAAGTACATGCGTTTTATAATCTATTCGTGAAATACGCTTAACCATATCTTATAGTAACTGATGTCGGAAAAAACGCTAACCAAAAAAAACATCCGATTATTTGTTAGAAATACTTAAAGTCATACTAAGATTATATTTATTAATTTTTTTGCCATTATTAGCATTCGTCCACTTTAATAACAGTAACAAAAAAGAATTATCCAGATAGGAATCAAATTTGATTCTTTTTATAGTTTTCATTTAAAATGAAGTATAAATTTATATAAATGATAATGATAATGTATGTAAACAAAACGTGTAATCTACTCACAAGCTTCGTGACACGAAACGACCTTTTCTAGATCATCAAAATGGTAGTAATCATATCCTGATGTACCGAGGACTTCGAATGGTAAGTAACCTATGATTGGAGGAGCGCGGTGGTCCAAGAACAAAAACTTCCACTCCAAACTATGACGCGATGTAAACTCGCTACGGATTGTATCCACGAGAGAAACATCGCGTACTAGCTGTGGCATATACAGTCTGCCGGTGCACACGAATAGCAATCTTGAAAAAAAGAAAAAATTTCATACAGCCGATGTTAAAAGAAATATGTCGAATAGGACAGAAACTACCTTTTTTCCTGTATTTTATAGGACATTTACGAAAAAAATCGATTGGTAATGAACTAAACTATGTATTTTATTCACTAATATAAGCACGAGTTTCATTTGATAAGTTTTTTGTGTATACGTATCTCTTTAGGAACTGGCATAATCCATTTTCATTGCCCTTTATACAACAGAAATTTTTCCACGCCTTTGACTTTCATTCAGTTATTTAAAGGAACAGTGGTTTAGTGCTCCTATAATCATTTCAGGCGGCCCAAAAACGTGACTGTTATTCATTCAACCACAACCGCTTAGAATACTAAGAAATTAGGATATATTTAAACTTTCTGGATTTGCCTGGCGGTTGCATAAGAAATATGACTACTCTTTTAACCTTTAGTCCTTAAAACTTTTTTAGAGAGACAATGAAAACGTTATTTCATTATTTGCATGTATAAACGCCTCGATCTGTTAATGACAAGAGAAGTCTTGAAACGTTTTTTCATATAATGACTTGATTTTATTCATCAATATTAACGAAGATTTTCTGAACACCAATGTTGAATTCGTAGATTTTCAATAGTTATTTTAGTTAATAGCTTCTCATCGTCATACTACATGAAACGCTGCGCGTTTTTGATACCATACACTAATTGTAAGTTACAACTGTAATATGAGAAAACTTACAAATGACAAACTGTTAACGCTCCGTACGTAGTATTACAACTCATACTTTCGTCAAGCTTTCAGTAAAATTCACAAAGATGCTTTTTTATACTCTTTTTTTTAAATCATAACTCAATTATAATCCTAATTACTAATACGATACGACATATTTTCGACATCCCTACTAATATTATAAATGCGAAAGTAACTCTGTTTGTCTATCCGTCTGTTACACTTTCACGCCTTAACCACTGAACCGATTTCAATGAAATTTGGTACAGAGATGGAGTTGATCTTGAGAAAGAACATAGGATAGTTCTTATCCCAGACTTTTGAAAAGTTCTCTTGGAAACGCGATATAACCGAACTCCACGCGGGCGAAGCTGCGATCGGAAAGCTAGTTATACAGGGTGACCGGTGAATTACTATCGATACTTGAGGACGTGATATTTGACGATCATATATGACAGAATAAAAATTAATAAAACATAAATATTAATAAACTTCTAAGTAAAGTTAACCAAAAGTTATGTAATTAATTAAGCATCGTGTGAACACCCTACAGATTAGGTATACACACACACACATACACGTGTGGCGGCGTGGTGTTGTGTCAGCACGCCGCCGCACGCGTCCACACTTGGAACACTTGGAACGTGTCTACACTTTATTTATTTATACGGAAATTTGGTCAAAAATTAAGTACCTATTTTTTTTACATAATTCGAATGAGAATCATGTACCGAGTATTCTCCTTAAATATTGATAGTAATTCACCAGTCACCCTGTATATATACGACACGATAGTTTAATTGAGAAAGTGACTGAGCCTATACATTCCGATAGCAGCGGGTTCGAATCTGGCTTGTAAAAGATATTCTTTATATGATCTTACCTCGAGTCGTGTTCATCCTGATATGAATGATGCCCGTTTTCATTGGACTCCAAATTTTTACCTGTAAATTTTACATATGTCACTGAACAGATATACAAACATTTGAAACAATGTATACGGCTTCACAAAATTCTTATTTAATCTTTTAACTGTAAAGTTAAATCCAGATTAATAATCTATTTCTGTCTTTATATATCTGTTAAACGGTACTTTAGATAAAATACAACAGAATTTACATATAAGGATCTGGAAATAATTTATATGTTTTTGGTAATATACAATGTTTATACTCACGGAAATGGCCATCGAATTGAACCAATTCATAGGTTACTTCATCTCTGAAATCTAATGTTCCCCTTTGCAGGCGGCAACGGAAGCTTATTGGATTATCTGAAATCATTTTAAATATATGAACAAATGAAGATAAAAAAATATACATTATTGACAATAAAACAGAAAAAATAAACTGCTTAATGTCTAATACGCTGTTTAGATTTATAATACGCATTGCCTTATATGCTAATAGCTGTACTAAATTATAGTAAAACACTAAATATACGTATACTAGTTTTTTCCCGCGACTCCATCTGTATGAGGATAAGAATTACGCTATGAGAGAAATGTACTGTGTTAAAACGATACGTATGGTAACCCAAGTTTCATCTTTATAGGCGACGGCCAAATGCATACAAAAAACATTCAAATCGGTTCAGCCGATTTTGAGTTCAATGACATACACGTACAGTGTAATTATATGTCTTTACATATATATACATGAATTCATTGATTCAAACTTAAAAGATTTTTTCTCATTACGTACATAACTCTTAATATTGGTAACAATTTAAATTCTCTCAACATATTACGTAACAGTAATTTTTATTTCAATTTGTCAAGCTGTTAGTATTACAACATTAATAATGGTATTCATTTCGCAAAACGGAAGCCGAATGACTTAAAAAAAACGCAAGTACGCAGAATCGCACAGGGAAATGCTTATGAATCATAAATAAATATATATATTTTTTTCCATATTACATAATATACAATTACAAATATGTAACCTTAGGCTCCTTAAAACTGCATACTGTATGATGAATCAGCTGAGATTGTGTTATGGTATGATATTTATTTGATAAGTAATTAGAGCTAATTACTTTGTTAGGCCTGTAAAAATATTACGCAACAGGAATCGAACCTGTTATACTACAAACATTATTGAAAAAAATAAATCTAGTACTTCGCTATGATCATATGAATTAACATTTCTCATTAACACAGATTTAAATACAATAACAGTAGTTTATGAATTAAAATGATAATATATTTTGTTAATACGACATCAAATTGAAATTATGCACAGCATTCATGCAATGCGATGCTCGATTTACATACATGATACATATAGCAAGTAATAATAATTGCAATAGTATTATTTGCATAAGCAACAGATAATGCTCAAACAGTTTTAAATACTGCAATTTGTTATACATAAATTATAAAAATAACAATCGCATATATGCCAAAAAAACAAGAAAATCTTCCACATAAACAACCTAACTGTACTTTTTTCTTTAAAGTAACTTTGAGAACAAAACATAGGTATTTAGAAACAATAATCAGTAGTTATATAGAAAACAGTAATACTGAAATAAAATAAAACAGTACCTGTTGTTACAACTTGTGTTGGATCGAGAGTTGTACCACCATTTTGCAAAATGTTGTAAAGATTTGGACGATCATCAACAAATGCCAGATCAAATATACTTTTATTGATAAGATCTCCCTAAAACAAGATGTACATTTAGTTATATACCAATCAAAATAGTTAAAATATGATAAAGTGACAGATTTGTATCAATGTTTACCGGAGTATGCCCTAGCAGTGATGTCACACTTTCAGATACATAATATATGCAACCGCTAGCTGAGAATACCATAACAAAACCCTCTAATGCCTCCAAAACTAAGTAGGTGAATTCCTCATTCGATAAGAAAGCCGGCTTCCAATCTTCCTGCACATCATGAGCTCTTGATCGCACAGTTATCTCTGAAATATTTGTATATATAATATTTTTAAGGATATTAAATTTGCCGTTAAGTACCTATGATGCTATTTCTGCTGTAGTTGTAGTAAAAATTGTCATTCAAAAATGTTTTCTCACCATTATGGTTCTTTAAGAATGATATAGTAGACTTAAGAACAGTTGATTTATCCATTTTTCTATTATTTGTTGATACCATAGAACCGAGTTCATTGACAAGCATGTTGAACTGGTCTCTCCTCTTCTTCTCACTAAGATTGCGAGTTCTCCTTCAATTAGGCAAATTACAACTATTAAAATTTATATCCATTTAAGCCTAATATACCATCTTTTTAAATAACTACATAATTCTTAGCCTTTATATCATGCTATATCAAAATATGTACGAAGTTAGTAACTAATTAGCTATTCAATCAATTAGTGTTATTTTGAATAGTTTAAGAGTAACAAAACTTTTTAATAGCAAACAAAAATGTATTTTATTTATTAGAATTTTGTCTTTTATTTAAAAATCAAATCTTTTAGCATTAGTAGATTGAAAATTATCTTTTAGTTCTAGCGATAGTCAAAAATCCCTTATGTGAATTCAAAATTAGAAAATGTTTTATTGAAATTCAGGCGACTTGTATGTTTGTTCACCACCGATGTGGTATTGAAATTACTATAGAATATATAAGATCTGTAATTATAATGCATTCAAGGGTCCAAAACTATGTTTTCACCTAGTTGTTCCCTCATTTATCTTTTAGACAACAGTCCATAACAAATGTTAAGAGAATGTGTTTTATACAACTTGAGCAATGTATGGAAAACCATAGACCAATCTTTAGTTTTTGTATGAATATTTTCATGAATTTTGTTACCTAATAGAACTAAGATACAAAATTACAGCATTTTTTTTAGAAAAACCCTACATATTCGATTCAGCTTGTTTTGTCTCCTCTATTCTCATTATACATTTTATTATGATCTTTGACATAAATATTTTCTTATTGTTCCATAATTTACAAGTCTAAAACAGCATTTTATATGACAATTAACATTTTCCCATAAATTGCGACATAATACGGACAGTATTAAACTCCAAAATTAAGTAAAAGGAACAAACCTTTTGGTGTCATCTTTATCATCACCGTCGTCGTCCATGGTGCTATCAACTTCTTTACCAGAAGAAATCAATTATACGATAAACAAGACACCACATATCAATTTAGTTCATAAAATATTCCGAAACTACAACAAACAAATCACTTTATCATCTTTAAACAAAAATTAAACCCGAAATAGGCGTAACAATGAGAATCTTTCCAACGATATTCGGAATTTAGTGAGAAACTGAGAATTATCAGCCCAATATCGATAACTAGGGCTTTAGTGAAATAAATTCTAACATTTTGTACCTGTGTACAACGAGAATGGCGATTTCCGAATACACCTTTTGATAAATATTATAATCTGTTATGTGCAATGTGCTGCATTCTCAAGGGCCAATTCGTGTATACATCGATATAAGTCTCGATGTTGTATTCCGCTGTAGAAAAATCGAAACACTCGTCTATGGGCATTGTGATGACTATAGTACATAGTATAATTAGTTACTTATAAAAGAATTGTTTAATTAATAACGTAAAGGATGATAAAAAATATTTTCTTTGCACACATTCATTGAATTTAAAGTTCTAATTATAATCAGTTTTAATTCATAGATTAAAAAAATCAATAAAAAATATTTTTTGGATAGCCACACCCAGAGAGACGAAATCATAGATACTTTACATCAAAAATCAATATTTATTGAAATAACGATTAAAACCGCATTAAATTTATATGTTAGTAATTAAAATCATTTAATAATATTGTAAAATAAAAACCGAATATTAAAATATATACTCCTGAAGAATAAAAATAAAATGAATACATACACACAGAAGTGCAAATAATTTTTTAAATTTTGATTATAGCTTAAAATAGTTATTAATGAATAAATTAAATGAATCAAAATGTTAAAGTCAGAATTGTAACTGCCATAACAATGCAGGTTATTGTAGAGATGATAAAAATAATAAATTTCTAACATAAAGTGAAAAATTCTGTAATGTAACAAAAAGTAGAAATATTTTGAACAAGTATTATGTATTTGTTTGAACAAGTACTATGTAATGGTGTAATTACTTTTTCCACTACGGGGTTGCAACAAAAGATATTTCTTTAAATGACATTTACTTTAACAAAAATAGAAATAAATTAATTAAAAGAAGTTGTTAAACCGATGTTAGGTAATTAAGGATTTAAATTTAATCATGTGAAGTAAATACAGAGATACAATTAAAAAGCTTTGGAAGATATGTGGCTGGTTCAAACGAATTACACGTATCAAACGTTGGGTCCTGGGTCCATACTCACGCTCGTTGTAGACAGTAGAAGTTTTGTTTTATAGTATACTTTAGTCCAACTTGATTAACAATGTAAATAACTATTAAAAAAGAACTGGTAAGTTCTGGTAGTTATACCGAATATTATGTTGAAATTAAGGCAGAGCTATTGTAAGCGAATTGAATTCCTGACAAGAATATTACCTATCAAAAATTATTTAATTTTGTTGTCTTGAATAAAATCTCGTCTAAAATATATTTCGTGGGTTTAGTTGTGACAAACTTAGGTTGCTCTCCAAACATATGACGCTATTTTATTTGATAACAACAGAGGTGTCCCAATTTTGACCATTATTTATAAAAAAAAACGACGATGCTGAGGTAGCAGGATCCCACAGCACCGTCACATAGATGATGAGATACGCCGAGGGGTTTTAGTTGGTTCGCGTGCCACACACCGCACCCGAAGGGAGTGACGACTAGACTAGTCTTCCCGCGTAAAATAAAATGTGGATGGGCATGGGAGCCTAGATTTTTTTTGCATTTGCTTTAATGGTGCGTAATTGACAATTAATACATAGAGATTCTTATAAATAAATATGACTCTCACTCCAAACCTAGACCAAAAAATGTATTAGGTTCTACCTCAGTGTGAAAAAAGGTCATTTTATTAAGTCGAAAACGGTTTACTAATCGTTTCCACAACTTTAAGGAAATTCTATTAAATCTTTATCGATATCAGTTTCTCATTTATATCTATTTTCTCGAGAAATATTGTACGATAGATAGTAATATACTTAAATACCAAAATTATGAAATCGTAAAAACTTTTAATAATTAAAATGCAAAATTTCTTAATTATCTATTGAAATATTACTTTAACTTGAAAGAGAAACAAATAAAAGTTATTAAAAATTTAGTCAAAAGAGCTGGTACCCAATTCGGTTTTCTCAACCAATAAATAAGTCAATGTGACATGTGGACATAAAATAATCGTCAATATTTTTAAGGAACCTATATAAAAAGTTTTGATTTGAATAAAAAATATTAAAATGATAGATATAATATTTTGTATTGTAGTGTGAGTTAATTATTATATCTTGTAACTCTTGTAACTAGGTGACCTGTGTGCATGACATTCAACAATATTTCGACATTACATTTTAAGCATATTTTTTTTAAAAACAAATTTAATGTCCTTATAATTATTTCAGTCTCATATTTTATAATTAAAATAAATTATAAACAAATGCTTATCTGCCGATTTATTTTTTTAGACAGGTAATCTGACAAATGACAATAGGTTTGACATATTGAAACTTCAATAATAAGTTCAATTAAACTCGGCACGTGGCGGGGCGAAGTCGTGTTTAAAAGTTTATTTTTAGTTTGTGTTTATATTACGTTGCCGCCTTTTTAAATATTCGCCATATTATCAAGTGAATGAAACGCTACTAAGTTAAAAAGAAGCAACTTTTGTTAAAAAATGTGAGTATAAATATTTATATTTACAGTTTGAAAGCCGGTTACTATGTTTTATTTTAAGTTTTTTATTGTTGCAACTTTATTTCTGATACTTATATGTTTGTTATGTAATTGCATGGCGCTGTTTTTTTGTAATATCAAATACAGATATCCTTACCTTGCCATTATTACGTAAGCGATATTATATAAGATGAACTATAGGTACCTATCTGCCTCAGCTAATGTCAATAAATTATAAAAATATTCGGGTTCAAACTCAGATCTACTGAATTTAAATTCTTATTTAATTATTCCGTACCGGACTCTAGATCTAGCTATAGTTAATCTTAATTTACTTTAAAAGTACATTTTTCTAGTTCTTAGTTTTTAAATTTCATTATTACAGTACAATTACATAATTTTATGGTTACTCAATTTGATATAAAAATTTTAATACTGTTGTGTTTAAATTTAGCTGAATAACATGTTTTTTTAACTAACTGGACATTTTTGTAATATTTTTTTATGATTTTATATATTTAATATAGAGTCAGATACATACATATTGACCATATTATTCATATAAAACTAAGTGTTCAGAATATATTATGAATTTGTATACTACTCAATGATTACTTTTTTATATTATATATTACAAAGGCACTGGTCCTCATTATTGATGACATCAAATCATATTTAAATAATCACTCAAGCAAATTAATAATTTAATATTTCTATTATTTTAGTCAAATTAATAAAAGAATAATTTTAATCTAACCGAGTGTTCTATTAAATATTTCTAATTACTTTTCCTTATTAAGTTATCTATATATGATTCACATATAGCAAATGATTTTAATACAATATTACACATGTAGTGTGTACATGACCTAATATATAACAATAATGATTTATGGCATAAAAAATACCAAATTTATCATATTATTAACCATGTTATTTAAAACTCTTTTAATAATAGGATATGCACATATATTTCAATGTCTTGCATAATAGTACATTAGTCACCCTAGTTGTCATATATTTGATAACAATATATTTAAATATGACTACATGTTACGGAGAAATTTTAATTAGTCAGTTTATTTACTAATAATATTTATATTTAGATATGAGTGTACGACTTGATGCAAATGTACTTATTTACCCAAGTATATAGCAAGACTTATAAAGAAAATGTATATAGGCAATATAATGACTTCTTCAATGATCACATACATGATACATAGATGTTGCATTTTCCTAAATAAATTTGTTCTCAAATGAATTTTGATCTTGAATTTTCTCAGTCCTTAATTTTTAAAGCAAATCAAAAGTTTGAATTATAGCATTTTTGATCTACCTAAATTTCTTCCCCGTTAATTGAAAATTCACTGTAAAGGATAGATTTCTTTGTGTTAATAAATAAAACATTATTTGAATGTATTTATAAACCATGAATGTCTTAATTTATTATATACTATCTGAGCCCAAGGCTTTGTCCCCGCAAAATAGTTTTTTTTAAATTATATATATAGAAATAAAATTCCTTAAATCAAAATCATCAAGATGTATAAATATAACGAACAGATGGACAGACAAAAATTCGTTTACTTATTAAGAGACGATTTATTTTAATATTAAAATAGACGACATCACAATTTTTTTTTATATATATAAAAAAAGAAACAAAAAGAATATGTTTACGACGTTACATTTAAATGTATAGTTATTAAGTACCAATGACTACATTATATCTACGTATTACTGCATTGCGTAACTAGTGGGTCGCATACATCGGGGATCGGGACGAAATGTGAATTCGCCACTGAATTTATATCACTTAGGAATTTTTTTTCTAAAACACTTACATAAACTGACACACGTACAACAAAGGCTCGAAAGCCCGTCAGCATCACAATGACTACCTGTGCCAGTTGTTTGGAGAGAGAATTTTTGTTTTAAAATTATGAATTTATAATAACCTAGCTTCAGAATGACGTCACGATTGTTGAAATGTCGAAACAAACAGTTGTCAGTAAATAACTTTTTGATACTACGCTCCTTTTTCATATAGTAAATTTCAAAATTCTGTATTACATATTTAATTGGTCATAAATAAGTAATGCTATATGCCCGGTTTGTGTGTTTATTTGGCAGACGTTGAAGTAGTGACAGAATTTTAAGATTAATCCCATTAATATTAGAAATATATTGAGATTCGATCGTGATCATAAATAAGTAAATTCGAAATGCGTAATCGTAACAGTTTCATAGATTTTCTTCTTGAAGCCAACATTTAATTCCATAAAATATACTAGTTTTTGCGCGTGATTTCGTCCACGTAGACTTCGAGAGTTGGTTTTAATGAGTAAAGTTTGTTAAAACGATAAATACGATAACCAACCACTAGCGACATCTATTGTCTGTATCACTTGAACATGCTTAATACCCTAAACCTGCGGAAACAATACGGATTTTCAGTGAAAATTATACCCTATGCATTATTCGGAAGTCTAAGCTATATTACTGTAAAGTTATATCAAAATCTGTAAAGTAATGTTAGCGTGGAAGAGCAACAAACTTCCATACATCCTGACTAACTTTCGCATTTATATTAGTAGGATTTATATTTATCAGATTCCAGTATCCATTAATACATTTAAAGCTTATGCCAGGCTTACTATTAATTTTCAATACACCGAGCTACGCACTATATTACCTTGAATACGAGTATACTATGTACTTTAATGCATGGTAATAGAGTCGGATTTCGATGTATTATTCAAAACATATACAATTCGTTAATTTCATTGCTATCCATCAAAGCATGTTATAGATAACAATTCGCTTACTCAATATAGTTACTTGTTACTTATTTACTTATAACATCATAATGACCAGTTACGCTTACGAACTTCGATCAAAAATGTTTTAATATGAAATCGATATCAATATAAATATTGATGCATATGAAGTAAACGAAGTTAATGATTATGTTTTATATATATAACAATAAATGTAAAATAGATTAATTGTACAAGCGCATGCACTTACAGAGTCACTGTGCCAGTAGGTCGCATTATGTAAGTGCCGCTTACCTCACTTTGCGTAAGAACCCGAAGCGATGACTTAACTTGTACGCCGACAGCCTTTTTCAGCTTTATTTTGCTACAGATCGCACTTGAGCCCGGTCGTATAATATCGTGTCGAGGTAATACTATCGATATATAAAAATATTTTTTTATAACAATAACATTGACCTTCGTATTTTATGTCCCTAACATTGCATATTTTCATTCCGTTGTAACACCGATAAGTATGCTTTGCGATTTGCTTATATTTTTTTGTTGTAGTTTTATTTTTAGTTGTTTATTAACCGTTCTGTTTGATGCATATTAATTGTGTTATTTTTAACCGATTTCAAAGAATGAGGTTATCAATTTGTCTATTTTATAAATCTGTCTGTTACAATAAAAGGTTTCGAATAAGAGACGTTTATATAACTAGAGACTAGGGTTTTGTAATATCTACGAGTTGCGAATTCAGTGAACTATATATAAGAGGTCATAATTGGTGTTAAAATTTTCTTTATAGCGGTCGTTACTACTGGTTAGTCCACGCGGCCAGAGAATCTATTCAAGGCGAAGATTCAGGTAAGTTTAATGTATAAGATTTTTTGTATACAAACTCTTTGGTCGAATAAAAAAACCAAGTTATAATGTCCTGATGAAAAAAAAAAATTAGCCTTGTCTGCTCCTTAACCGGTCGTATTATACTAGGCCAAGTTCATCATACCGTATCAGTTCGTTAAGCCAATTGTAGTGTCCCATTAGGTACTCGATGAAGTGCACATCGCATGTAATTCATTTTATGCAGGTCATGTTTTTTGTATTGGCAAAGTCATTTTATTATTTTGAGACATGCCGATTCTTGATGACGTCATGGTATGTTTTATGATTTAGAATTTGGAATTCGCAGTTTTGTCTTTTCATACATGTTTGTAACAGAGTTTACTAATAATGCCGGCAACCGTAAACAAAGTTTATCTAGTTTTAGTAAACACGCTGCCAACTATCTCGACTTGTGAGATGAATAATTCAACTTTAGTAATATTATGTCGATTAAAAAATATCTACATACGTTTATTTATAACGGATTTATGTGGGTTTATAGTTTTTTATGAGTTCGACATCGGTTATTCAGTTCATAAAAAGTATAGCGAAAAAAATATATTTGAATAAGTGCTAGTGATTTGTCATCTTAAAATATTCAGGACGTTACTCTTAATTGCTATCGTCGGAGGTGGATGACTCCAAACACGTATGCCTCATACAGTTTTAAATATAGATTCTACTTAGCGTCTATTTACTGTTCTGACTCAGATTCGGTCGTAAAATTACTTTAGGTACATTTTGTCTCGTCTATCGGAACAGCCGCGTTTAGATGCATAGCGCTAATTAATTATGTAACACATTATTAACGTTCTAGAATATTCTTTGAACTGCGACTTAAAATTTTATACAGATTATTATCAATCGTGCCATTATTTGCAGAGAGCAGAGATATACAATTTTATAACAAAGTCACAGATTGTATTAAACGAGAATGGATTCTAATGTGCATTCTGCTAGAACTAGAGGCCAACGTAGAAGAGTGTCATCGAGTCAGAGATTACGACCGTATGGAATGACAGATTTTAATGTGTATATTGATACGAATGTGCACTATAATCTTGATATTGATGAAGGAAGTGCTGCCAATAGGACCGAGGAGCCTTGTAGGGTACTGATTAAAAGGAATAACCAAGATTTCAACCATGGATTGGATGAAAATCAGCGTGGTGATGACATGATGGCTTCACCTACTCCAAACGCCAGCATAACTACTGGCCATCTCCAGATAATTGCTGAGGATGAGAACATAGTATTGGTCGCGTCCCTGGCGAATACCGACACCGATTCTATCGGTACTCTATCACCGACCCTATTACAATTACATCCCACGCACATCCAATCGAACAGTCCAACAGAAAACGGCGAGCAGTCTCTTAATTCTGATCAAATTTGCACTGTACCAGAACAGGAGGCTGCTATGACTTCATTATACGAAGAGGCTATGTACCAGGAGACGTCGGAGACTGAAGTTAAGAAGGAGAGCATCGCTCAGACACAAGTTAAAAGCTACGGCCATACTCTCACAACGAACTTATTCCTGAATCCTCATTCGCTTGTGAGGGAACTGCCGATGCCTAGCGTGAATGCCCACAAGTTAGCCAACAACCTGATCAAATTGTCCAGATATCTCAAGTCGCCGGCCCCCAGCGATTTATGCTGTCTGAACTGTTGCCGCATCCCGGTTCTGCCTGTGACCGGTCAATGCGGCCACACTAGATGCATGAGGTTTGTTTGCGATCCTCATTAATATGTATATTTTTATATACAATTCTGAGAATTTTTTTCGCTACAGGTGCATCGTCGTCAATGGGACATGCCCGTGCGGTGTGAATGCTCCCAAGACGCTGTTCGTAAATACAGTCATTAGAGAAATAATTGAAAAAATGATTAAATACATAAGAAGTCCCAGGTATGTATCGTATTTAATAAGTTTCAACCTCTTATTACATGCTTTTTGTAATAAGGGTTAATCGTTTACAGAATACTAGATCCTGGGACGCCTAGAAAAACCTGCGAAAAGAAATTTCCGCTTATAAGAGGTATGTATACAATATATACATAAGGATTTCGTATTTACTTTTTATATACATGTTGAATGCAAAGCGATTTAAATATAAATATCAAATTAATGCCAAGTAAATAATAACAATGTTGCAAAGAATTAAGAAACTTTATACTAGAAATATATCTGTATCGAGAACGAATAATAAGGGCATTAACATTAAATACATCGATAGTAACGCTAATGATAAGGTTTTATTATATGTATTTAACGTCAAGTAATTATTCAAAACATGATAAATAAATATAGTTTTTTTAATGCTACTGTTTGTCAGTGCTTTTTTCAAACCTTCCTTTTGTATGTAAAATATAAAGCATTTGATGGATCAAATTAAATTTGCCTGTCAGTAAATGTGATCAAGTTTTTTTAAAAAATATTCCATAAATTTTCTTAAAAACCAGAAATTCCTGAACCGTCTGTGATATTTTAATTTTTTGAATATATAGTATTGCTTGGTTATTTTCCTTTGTTACATTGACTGAGAAGTTTTTTTTTTAAATATTACGTATATATATTACATTTTTTTATATTACTTCAAACGATTAAAATGTCACATAACACATGATATAATTGTAGGAATGTTAATTTTATACCTCGCTAATCTAGACTAGACAAACCCAGGCTTGTATTGTCTAAAACTGATGAGATTACACAATGTTTGCTATGAGATTTCATTACAGTAGATCGTCGTATTAACACTATGGCTAGCATAGATGAAATAGCCGAGTTAACTACATTAAAAGTACTTTCCCCATAACCTTCAATGGAGATATTCAACAAAGTTTTATTCTAATAAGTATATAACATTGTATGCACAAAGATCGGATGTACTTCAATAAAAAAAATATATGATGAATTAAATATGGTTTTATAATAGTGTAGGCGTGGGTAGTAATTGCAATCGGACCGGTGTTATGAAATCAAACAATTTATCCATTACACTATTGTTATGTAAGTTATATAAAGGCAGTTTTTGAACTGCGGGTCGCAGGTTACATTTACGTCCTTTGTTAACCGAAATTATAAAACTCGCCTATACACAATATATAGAACTAAACTATTTTCATATCAAAATGTGTAACTAGCTTTCCGCCCGCCGCTTCGCTCGCGTGGAGTTCGGTTATATCGCGTTTCCAAGAGAACCTTACAAAAGTCTGGGATATTAACTATCCTATGTTCTTTCTCAAGGTCAACTCTATGTCTGTACCAAATTTCATTAAAATCAATTCAGTGGTTTAGGCGTGAAAACGTAACAAACAGACAGACAGAGTTGCTTTCGCATTTATAATATTAGTAGGGATTTTAATGTATCATCATTTATAGTTTTTTTTTTATGTTGATTAATGAAAAGCTGCATTGTTATTACTTTTGTCTACTATGACGACAGCGAACTTGAACACGTTTCTAGTGTGTGTGTACAAGTCATAAGCGCTAGCGATTAAATAATTACGATAAATTACATATAATTATATAATTTCTATGAACTCACCATACTTTATACTTGATCAACCATAGTTTTTGCATATATTATGTTATATAAACTGTTAGTAAATGATAATGTTACATTAAATTTTATCATGTTATATTATTGATGTACGTAATATATATCGTTGTATAAGTATCGCTGTATCTCGTAGTTTGTACCACATCATTATATAATGTAAGGCATATTGTGACTTCATTTGAATGACGTAATCTTGGTATTATGTAGTTTTGCGGGTCGAATGTCCCAAGCTATATTGGGCTTCACTGATTAACGCGATAGAATTAAAACGGTACTTAGAATTAGATCGTGTAAACGTTGCAGATGTTTTCGTCTACAATAATGTATATATAGAATTTTGATACTATATATACTAAATTGCGTTACATCGTTTATCTGTATGACGACTTATTCTTCTATGTAGTAAACATTCTAGTACGTATATCAGAATTAAAAGAGGAATCAATATGATATGTAGAAGAATTAAGTTTCTTAGTTAATGTTCATAATTTTTTTATAATTTTCTATATGACTAATGATGTATTAATTCCCAGCGAGACGTCGTTATTATCGACGCGGCCACAGCTTCCCTAGAGGCGCTCCTCTCAGTAATTCTCCCACCTGGTGCTTCTCAAGACCCCGTGTGCCTTTGACCGTTCAGGTAATTTTATACTATATATACAACCTATATAAAACCTATAAAAAAACAACCGGCGGTTAAAAAAACGATCGTTTTCTTCCTATAACGTAGTTTTATATAGCACTATAAATAAAACCATTCAGTCTATCTTCTTATATATTCAAATCGCACGAGATCCTAGCCGTCTTTGTCAGACAATAAACGCGAGGACGCACTCGAGTGAATTTTACAATCTAATTCAACCTTCGTTTATATAATTTCTTAGTTGCAATACAGTGTCGTATGATTCATTATTGTTTTTGATTTAGTACACCATTGGATTTCAAATGATGAACGAAACGTTTCATTTATGTAACTATGTTAATTCGGATTAATTATGTTGTAATTTAATTACTGCAAAACTTAATGGTTATTGAGGACATTTTTGCTGTTTTTTTTTGCTATCATAATGTCAGTATATCATTTCTATGATATATAATATATGATATATCTCAAGGCGCGGTTTAAACGCGCTCGGGCGCTGCTGGCGGCTGGAGAGTATTTGCAGGCTGCGCCCCATCTTGCCAGGGTCGCTGCCTCGACGGAGCCCTGCGCTAGGATGGCGAGATTGATGCTGGCACAGGTATGATATGATATGATATGATATGATGTGATGTGATATAAATGAGACGTAATATAAGAAGAGTTTGAAGAGTTTTCAGCATGTTTTTTATTGTTAGTAGATATATATTGAATTAAAAAAAATATGTTTCACGTATAATTAATTTTACAAAAGACATTTTAAATAAGGCATAAGAAAGTCCATTTTCTTATACAATTTATATAATTAAACATTCATTTCAATATATGAAAAAAGACAAGAAGTTAATTGAGTGATTAGTAATATATTACATACATTTAATATCATTGCCACACAAGAAGCCACAACGGTGCCATTGCAACGAATTCGCAACATCTGACTAATTATGGATGGTATCAACATAGTTCATTATATTGAATACACGAAACTTTTAGTATTAATTTGACCTAAACCTGTGGTAGGCAATAATAATATTACTATAGTAATCTATTGTGATTCTATAACCGTTTTATAAGAGGCTAAGCTGAAAGTGACTGTAATGGCGTAAAATTATGTAATACATATGTTAGTACATACGCAGGCGGTATGTTGAGAAATACATACGTTTTTCGTCCGCCGCTATATCGATATAATTGCAAAATTTTCGTATTACGAAATTAATATAACGAGACGCCCTGACTGATGTCGTGATTTTTTCATTTCGAATGCCGTAATTATTGATTACAGAAATTTTGCTTAATTTAAAAACGAGTTATTTCCTCAAAAAATATATGGATTTTGTTTAGGTATATTTAAAAATGATTTTAAGTGATGGAAACCTTTAAAGTAGCTAAAAACTCCGTTTCAACAATAAATTCGTCTTGCGGCGAAAAATTTTACTTTTATCTGTATTTCTAACTAGAAATTCGTACTATTGTGATAATATTTTTAACATGGAACAATATTAGTTTAAAAATCCATCAACCTTGAAAGTCACGTGAGAGGTGAATGTCAGAACGCTGAGCTGTTCTGATGAAATATCTGAATACACGAATGGTAATCAGAGTTGCAATAACCCACACCCGACAAAATTTCCTAATCGCACGGAAAACAGTTTTGCCATCGCGTAGAATTGCAATATTTATTTCATTCATACTTTATCTTTCGTCCTAAATAACTATATGAAAATTTCATGATGATGAACATGACATATATGTAGACTTATCAATATAGTCTAGACTTCCTATCATATAATGCCTATATTGTCATTCGCAGACTATCAGCGCTTTAAGCGAAGGTCACAAGCGTAAGAGCGTCTCCCGTGAGCTCTTTCAGTCTGTGAGGCAGCAGTCCACAATAAGCTGGTTGGCACCTTCGGATCTGGAGTGCGTGTTATGCACTAATAGCTATACGAACCCGGTTTCGACGCCCTGCGGCCACACATACTGCAGGACCTGCATAGAAAGATCCTTGTACTATAAGAAAAAATGCGCGCTCTGCTTGGGACCATTGGAAAACTTCAAACTACCTGAGGTATTTCAAACAATAGTATTATATACTTCTTCTTCTTCCTGGCAATTTTCACAGCTTTAGCCAAGGCCGTAGTAGTTTTATTATATACTAAATACAGTGTATTATCTTGGCTGTTATTGGATTTTGTTCCTTATATCTAAGCTAATAAGAGTATATTTTCGTTCCAGACTCAAGATACATTGTTCATAAGTTCAATACTATCGTCTATCGGCGTGTCGCAGTCTGTTCGTGATGAGGACGTGATACCAGTAGTTACATGCTACGTAGCGTTCCCTGGGTTAGTTTGTAACAATAAAACAAACTGTCATAGTAATGTTAATATAATTTAATAACGAGAAGTTTAATATATGTATTTTTTGCAGTATGCCGTGCCCGCTGTTCATGTTCAATCCTCGCTACTGGCAAATGGTGAGAAGAGTGTTGGAATCAGGTACGCGAAGATTCGGCATGCTGGCCCATGAAGGTGGAAATAACTTCGCTGATTACGGCACTGTGAGTATATAACACTGTAAACCTATATACATATGTACAGACATATATACATAACAATGGGAATACTTTTTTTATGTGTATTTTTTTGGTTACAAAAATGTCATATGCGAATGTTACATGATTATTATTAATATTAAAATCTGTTGATTGTGTTAAATATAGTAAAATTGCTATATATTTTATGGAATATTTTCTATAATTTATTAAATAAGTAGTCATTTCTTACCAAATTACAAGTATCAGTTAGAATTAGCTAATTCAAGAGTTAAACCGAATAAATTTGGTGTCTAGAATTATTGTTAAACCAACATTATATAGGAAAAAATATTTATAATGGTATAATATACAGACAGTGTTGAAAAATCATCATGTTCATAGTAATAATTTAATTTCCAGGTGCTAGAGATCTGTGACTGTGTAGTGCTAGAAGACAACCGCTGTATAGTATCGACAGTCGGTGTTTCCAGGTTTAGAGTGATCGAGAGACATATAAGAGATGGGTATGAAACATTAAAATACAAATAAATTACTACAACTATACATTATTATTAAAATCATATAATATGAGTTAGTATAAAATAAATGAGAATTTTTCACAATGAAAACAAGTCCATTCTGATCTAAATAACCGAAATAAGTCATATTTGAATTAGGTCTCATACTATCATCAACTCTACCGGTGACGCTGTAACAGCCGTAGGGCTAACAGCATATTCATAAAAAAAAAATAACTATCATCAATAAAAGAATAAATGAAACTAATATTTTCGGATTTTTACTTCGCGTTTTTATTTTTGATTATAAACTACATACTCCCGACTTTTCGGTTACTTTTCAGCGACCGTGATCACGGGCAGACAAGATGAGAATTTCTCTGTCTAGTTTATAATCAAAAATAAAAACGCGAAGTAAAAATCCGAAAATATTAGTTTTATTTAAATGGGTGCTCGCGAAAATCTTAGATATCATTATTAAAACAATAATTTTATATAACAGATGTATATAAATGCTGTGATTAATTTCCAGGTGTGACGTAGCACGCATCCAGCCACTCACAGATGTGACACCAACAGAAGATGAGCTCCAAGACCTGCATACTCTGTCCTCACAAATATCATCCAAAACTCAGACCTGGCTCAAGAATATGGATGAGGGTGTTAGGAAAGAAATCGAAACCGCCTTTGGAGCTATGCCCTGTAAGGATATCCCTGAAAACTGGTGGAACACATCCGATGGACCCAATTGGCTCTGGTGGCTAATAGCCATACTGCCCCTGAAATCAGAGATCAAGGTATAGGACAGAACTATTATTATTAATTCTTCAATCTATACAAATATCAGAAAATTACTTAGGAAAATACCATTTTCGTTTTTTCTATAAACTTTAATACACTTTAAACATCCTAGATGGCGCTAGCACCTAGTTGCCATATAAAACAAAGAATGAAATTCTATAATAATTTTTTACAGATATTAATACTATCAACTCGAAGTCTTCTCAAACGGATGTTGGCTGTATCAAGGACTTTGGATGTTATGGATGCGGAGTTTATATCAAATGATTCAAAATTAAACATCACTAGCAGAGAAGAATGGCTGAGGAGATGAAAAATATAATATAATAGTGTTAGATACAAAAAAGTTACACCCGAAACGGAAATGACTAAGAAATATAACACTTTTAAACACGATTGACATACAGAGTTTAAATAATTACCAATCTTATGAAGATGCGGTAACTGTAATTGAAATATTAAATTATTTTTATATCTGCATTCCAATGTAGATGTTTGTTTTACTCTATAAATGCATTTAAAACGTTTAGAATTTATTTTAAGTTCGTTATTTTACTATATAAAGGGATGTTATGACGGATTTGAAACATTGTTTTCAATATAGAGGTATTGGAGTGAAAAGAAAATAAATCAATATCTGTAACATTTCCTAAGCATCCCTTGTATAATGTAAATATATTATAATGTAGTTAAAGCTAGCGTTTATTTTGTATTTCTCTGAATTGAATATGAAGTTGCAGTGTCATGATCTGTCTTCCAATGGGAACATTTAGATTTAAGTAATTTCATTGTAATTTTGAGACACCAATAATGCTTAGATAATATTTTTTTATAAGTTTCATAATAGACACCATGATCTCAAAATCCTATTATTTTTAATTGTTCGGAACTACATTTAGTTTATTTTGTATTTTTATAGTTTTTACAAAACTAACAAGGTATATGCAAGCTTTACATAAATGTATTTGTAGTTGATTTAAATGGAAAGAATTGTGTTAAATGTTTTTTTTTTGTAAATCAGTTCAACAAAGCTGACAAGTTTGCTGTGATCACTTAAGTGTTATGTAAGTTTAAATTAATTTAACCCACCACACCGGTTCACAGCCAGATCGTGGGTTACGTGTCATAGAATTTGTGGATGACCAGTAGCATGTTTACTTACATTTTTTTTATATACCTACAGACCTAAGTATGCATTATCACCATTTCTATTAAAACAAATATGTTATAATTATAATTTATGAGTAATAATTGATTAAGGTTTACTTTTATGTTTCATGAATGTCTTAATAGATCAATAAATTATGATTTGATTCTTATTGTAGTATTCATTTTAAATTGTTCCTGCGAAAGCGGAGATTTCTGGTTTAAACTGTATTTTTGAAAAATTCATTCTAAGACTTACTTTAGTTAAAATAGTGCTTGCTTATTGAAAAATTTGCAAGACCCAAGACGGCAATAAAATTATTTTTTGAAGTAAAAACATACATTCAATCTAATACTATAAAGTAAGAGAAATAAATAAATTGCTGTTTAAAGGTTACATATACTATGATACACATAAATATAGTCTTTATTTATATATTGTCATACAAAAATTGTCTATCTATTTTTTATGCTATGGCTTCAATCTATTTTTCTTTTATTCTTCAAAACATGATGCACTAAAATATTTTCGACGAATGTCACTGTGACATTTGCTTATAAACAATATGTTAAAATGTTATATTTAAATTTTATTTTGATGTATTTACATTTTTATTAGTATTCCGTGATCGGTTTATTTTAGTAAGATTTATTTTATTATTTTTAATAATGGCTTACGAATTAAGTGACAGATTTAAACATCCACCTGAGAGATTCCGACTCCTAGAACCTGGAGCTTATCAATATAGCAATTCACCAATAGTTGAACCAAATAAAGTGCCTTTTTTGTCAAAGTGCCCAAGAAAAACGGTAAACATAAACCCAGTATGGACACATGTCCTTTATAATGCTGATCTTCCTCCCAAAATACCAAATTGTACAAGTATTTCATCAAAAATTCCACGGTTTCCATATGAAGCATTCAGTGAAAAAGATTTAGAAGAAATTTTGTGTAAATGTGGAATAGAAAATCCATGCAAATGTCCCGTTGAAGATGTTGAAGAAACTGAAAAAAAAGAAGAAGTAGTATGTCAAAGATTAATTCCTAGACGTATATTTAAAGGTTTTGTTCCTAGATCTTCACTAGGAGACGGACTTTCTACACCTTCAAAAGGGGATAGTGGATTTAAGTTATTGCCAGATGGAACAAAAATACGTATATTCACAAAGCCCAAAGATAATAGCCCCCCTTTTTATAACACGAATGTTACTGAGTCTACGGCCTTCTATCAGGGGTGCAAATGGAGTAAATGGACAGCGAAAAGAGAAAGTAAATTTGGTACAGATACACCAGGTCCAACAGATTATTTTTTCGAAAAAGAACCAGACTTTGATACCCTTTGTGCTGAAAAAGTGAGAGCGTTGAAGCGTAAAACATCGAAACAGTACCGATTCATAGAAATGGTGCAAAGGAGGAATATTATCGAAGGACGTCCCGGTCCAACAGATTATAGTCCAATGTCACCAAAAGGACCAGATCTACAATATTACGGTCCTAAAGCAGAAAGATTTTCAATTCCTAAATACCAAGATCAACCAGGACCTACCGCATATTCATTAAGACGTGATTTTGATTTAGTAGAAATTCCTGCGAAACAATGCCAAGCAAAACTACCGCCGCCTGCTGGTTTCGGAGTTAGAGCAGTTAGACTTAAACCTCGTAAAGAAGAAGGTCCTAGTCCCGCTAACTATGATGCAAGATATAAACCATGTCAAGTTCACCGTTGTAAACTCGTCCCATTTGGATCTTCAGCCGAAAGATTTAAGAAAGAAATTATAGAAGAATACGATTATGAAGATTTAATAATGAATGAAATTATGAAAGAGCTGAAGAAGACCCAAGATGATTCTACAATAAAAAATAATCCGACATGGGAATTTAAGTCAAAGACAGTAAGAATGAAACCTCTTAAAAAAATATTAAATGAGCCCAGCCCAGCAGATTTACCTCTAGCAACTCCAAAAATGAAGAGACTTCTCAATTTACAAAAAAGTTGCCCATTTTTTTCATCGGAGAGACGATTGAAACCTTGGTTTAATTGGATACCAGTACATGGAAAAGAAAATACGCCAGGCCCAGCATATTATTGTCTTGAAAAGCCGCAATGTTTACCGGCTGTTTGTCAAGGTCCAATAAATCGTTCACCACGTTTTCCTCGTGCTAAGTTTCAAACTCCGGCTCCAAATCAATATGTAGTCAAAGGAGGGATTGAAGATGTTTTAGTGACGTATAACAATCGCTTAAATCAAAATATACAAAACAAACATACCTTTCAATGGAAACCTCCAGTAGAAAAATCTAAGCCAAACCTGGCTGATAAGGAAAATTTATTACTAGAAAAATCAATTCAATTATTGGAAAGTACAGATATATTTGCAGAAGAACAATACGATAAGCAGAATAGTAACCATGAAGACGAAGAAATTAAGAAATCGAAATTATTACGCTGTTTTCTGTTTTCTAAGAAAATGCCAAATTATTGATAAAATCGTGATTTCCTTAAAAATAAAACTTTAAACGTTGAAGTTTCTTTAATTTATAGTTCTATATTAAAAAGTTATCTATATCAAAAAAAAATAAAGCAAACGTCTAGAATTAATATCTTTAAAATATAGGCAAAGTTCTCTTAAAAACAAGTTTTAGGTTCCACTCGTGTGGACTTAAATGTAAAATTAACCTTCGTGTGTTTAAGAATATGTTATCAACATTAATTTAATAAATATTTAAATTATCTTATTTTAATAATTTTTACATAATATATCACTTGCAAGTTAAAATATTTATCTCCATTTCCACAGAGTATATTACAAACAAGCTAAAGTGTACAGCCTATATTTGGTTATTGACATCTACCTACTGTTAGAAATAATAACATTTATTATTACGAATTGCTAAATAGCAATATAGTGCTATTTAATATTTTATTACCTTTAAAATATGTTATAATTACTAAAGTAAAAGGCAGCTTTGTATTTTCTTTTCTTTAAAAATACTCATTTACAACTTAATAGGTTAAGAAACTACCTTTTGTAGACATAATAACTCTGACTTAATACTCCAGTTTCAAATACTATAAACACGTGTGTCCAGAATGTCCAGATTAGGTGCTCTTAATATTACAAAAAATTCTGGCGCTAAACACACTGCTACAGTCATATTTTTTCATGGTTCTGGTGAGATTCTATAATCTATTGGAGTCGAGTTTTTATTATTAAAGAGTTGTATATAGTCATAAATTTATCCCCACAGGTGCAGCTGGCGATCATATGAAGGAATGGGTGCATTTATTGGCAAAAAATTTTGTTTTCCCACACATAAAAATACTCTACCCAACAGCACCATTACAGCCTTACACTCCGGCTGGTGGTCTTATGAGCAATGTTTGGTTTGACCGACTAGGTATTAACCCTAGAGCTCCCGAAGTATTGGAATCTTTAGCTCAAATAGAAGTAGATATAAAAAATTTATTAAAAAGTGAAAATGAGGCTGGTATACCAAGTTCGAGAATAATTGTTGGTAATAAATTATTTTATTTTACAGTTTAGAATGATTTGTCATATTTTTGTAGTTATTAATGTGATTATTATCATTAAAGGTGGATTTTCAATGGGTGGAGCTTTAGCCCTTCATACAGCTTATCGATGGGATCCAAATGTAGCTGGGGTCTTCGCTTTTAGTTCATTCTTAAATGATAATTCTGTGGTATACGAAGAGCTTAAAGACTCTGGTACTAAAGGTAAGACAAAATATAAGTTAATATGAAATATAGGAATTTACATATTTATATATATTTAATTATTATTTTCAGTCCCTCTGCTCCAAATTCATGGTGACAGTGATGATTTAGTGAATTTGGCTTGGGGTGAAGCAACATTCAAAGAACTTAAGAGTGTAGGAGTACAAGGAAATTTTCATATTATGGAGAAGTTAGGACATTCATTGAATAAAAGAGGGTTAAATATCATTAAAGATTGGATAGATAAACTTCTTCCCGAAATATAATAGTATTGTTCTATAGTACATGTACCGGGTTTGGTGGTGTAAGTTTAGGGTTTACTCAGTGTTTATATGATTAAGTATATTTTTTTGTTAGTATCTGTGTAACTAGGACTTTATAAAATAATGTAGAAACAAATTAAACATTAAATATTTACACTTGTTATATTGCACAAACATTTATTGTTTCTCTAACACCAAAACTAACTAAATGATTTTGATAAGATGATAATCAGAATTTTTATTTTGCTGAATACCTACAGTTTTATCTTTTAAATTCTGAGGCAAACATTACTACTTTATATATTGTAGACTGACTCAAAATACTTTGTCATGCCACTCTTAATTAAAACTGAAAATTTGAAAAAATCTGAAACATAAATACCAAATTTTTATATTTATATACTTTTCTCATGGAAAGAATCTTAAAATTTTATTTGACTTAAATTGAAACTGCTAATAATATTCCATTTATAACAATATTAAATAAGGTCCACTCCACATAAGTAAAAGATGTGTTGGGACTCAGTTTGCTAAAATAAGTTGTATAAAAAAATATAACAAAAATTTTGTATATACTATTTACTCCTCTGCTCATCTGAAATTAGCATTGTTTATTTTTGTTTGAATAAAAATTGAAAAACCATTGAGACTGGCTATAAAAACAATATTACCTTGTATAAAAACTACATGACAAATGTCATGCAATTAATTAAATGAACAGCAATAAAAGACTATTGTTATAATTATTAATGAACTAATAAGAAGAAGTATAATTAGAAATGGGACCCAAAAAAGTTAAAGATCCCACAGAAGATGGAAATTATTGGAGAACATGTATTGAGGAAGCCCCATTAGACGAGGAATCGTGGAAAGTTAAAGTAGTCCTCATTGAAGCGGCTGGAAGTGACCAAGATCGTATGTACTTAGATAGATTTGAGACATACGCGGCAGAAGAAAGAAGATTTGTAATAAAAAACATATGTAAAACAGAAACTATATTTATGGTCAACCAACTTGGGGGTGAGAAAAAAGTAAAAGATGACAATTTAAGGGTATTCGAAGAAGGCCAAGCCTACCTTAAGGACAAAAAAGATATCCCTGCTGATATTTTAGCTTTAATAATCAAACATTTAATTTTGAAGATGAAGAATGAATATCTGTTTATTAAACATCAAAGATTAGAAGTGAAAGAAGGTATTCAAAGAGAGTCTGCTACGATGATTAATAGGGCTGAAGTGAGAGGTACTGTTAATGTTAAACAACCAGAACCAGTTGAGCCGCCTGAACCACCAGCTAAAGGTAAAAAGGGTGAAACAGAAGTTGATCTGAGGACGTTTGAGATTGATGAGAATAAAAAGTATAATACTATGCTTAGGGTTAGAGGTGAGGAATGGCGGGATAAAGTATATATTGACGACTATCCGATAGACGGCCCGAACCTTTACGTCGCGGTTACAGGTTTTGTTGAACCTGACTTAGCAGGTTGGCTGATTAAAATTGGTATCCCCTTAACTGCTGTAGTTCAAGTGCGTATAGATTCTTCCGATAGCACCGTACCTTCGAATTTGTATCGAGCTTCGAAAAGAGGCCAAAGCCAAACCGAATTATTAATGGAAAAATCGTTAAAGTTTTGGGATGATTTGGAGCAGCTTCGAATACGCAAAGAAACAGCAGACGACTTTAAAAACACAGCGTTTGTTGTATTCACTCCTCCATATTGGGATACAGATGAACTTTCTGGCTCTCCAGAGAAAATTTATGATGAACTATGTTATTTGTTATATGATGTACAAGATTTGACTAGACAACACTTAAATTTTATAGAAAATATGGATATTATAAATATACCGGAAGAAAATAAGAATGAACGTTACCAAAATTATTATAATAAGTTAATCGAGGAAATACCTTTGGAATGTGTTAATACCTATTTAGTTTTGGACAGTATTTTACAGGTTGTCTGTAATTCTGATGTAATTGAAGCGAGCAGCACTGGGTCTTTATCAACAACACTCATATTCAATCCAGCCGACCAATATCCGAAAGAGGAAGACAAAATACGTAAAGCAGAAAATCTCGTTAAAGATGTTATGGGACAATTGTGTAAAACTGATATAGACAAGAAGAAATATCGTTTAACATATGGAGAGGAATACGAGACTCATAAAAATCCTATTGTTATAATACATGGTGATATATGCAAATACAATACTTTTCATCTCGGAAACATAAATTTAGATGACATCGTGTGGTCTATGCTGTTTGGCATGCCAATTCACAGTTTATTCAAAGATAGATCAAAAGCCACAGGGGAAATAGAAGCTAAGATAAATTTTCACGTCAACGTCCTACTATCGTGTTTTGATAGGAATGATGTTGAAACTGCCGAGTTAGACAGGCTTTTACATATTTTAGCTTGTCGCAAACTGTATAACAATAGAAGTTCATTGAAAAAACATCATTTAATGTCATCAAACGTAACAGAATTTAAGAAGACATATTTAAAACGAAGCATTTTAGCGGAACCATTAACTAAGTCATCTGTATATAAATCTGGAAGCTCAATATCACATTCATTCCCATCGATAATTAAGAGCTTAGAAGGTTCAAGCAAATCTTCTCTAGACGAAGACGATGAATCTACTCGTATTAAATTTCTATTCGACTGTCCAGATATCAGCGAGCTAGTATCCGCAGCCGAGATAGCAAATGAAAAACCCATTAGTCATATGATAGATAATTATGAATTTTTTGAAGACTTTAATGGTACATGTGCCTTTCAAATACTTTCAGAAGCCTTTAATAGTTTTAATTGTGTTGATTACAAATATTGCGAAGTGACAGATTGCATCATATTGATGTTTTTCAATAGTCATGACAAGGAAGGTGTAGCGCGAGAAGAATGGCGTTGCCATATTTCTACGCCTCTCTGTTTGCAGGATTTTTTCGATTTCGTTCTAGAAGAACACATAGATTGGGTCCAGAAAGAGGAAAAAGCTTACGACGAAAACATGATGCTCAAATCTCTATCTGAATGTAAAGACTCCAAAGATTTATTGGCGACTAAAACGTGTGTAGAAAATATGGATGTGGATATGGAACTGCTTATCGAGGGTTCACTTAAATTTGAGGAATTTAATAAAATGGAAGCTGTTGGAGAAGAGGCCTCTGAGTCAAAAGTATTTTCAGAAAAGAAAATTAACTCGCCTAGATCTACTACAGAAGCAGATTCTAGGAGTAGTAAAAAAACTAAAACTACAGCAAATATGATCCCGAAATTTGAAACTGAAAATAACGTAGAAGAGGAAAAAATCAAAAAACCATTTTCTGGTTATGATTTGGGAGACAGGAGAGTTGAAGTTTTTGGCAAAGATTCAATTTATTTTTCTAAAGACGGCACAAGAGTATCGAGTTTTTATTCTCTGTTAATTCCAATGAATTTGGAATATGTTATATTAAATGTGAAACCAGGCAATGAATGTAATGAGTTCTGGATGCACAAAGCTCTGGCTGATTTTGTTACACCTGACGTGTATGACATGTGTGAGTCATTTAGGATTAAATGTAAAGATGACGTCATGGTGTATATAAAAAAGCAATTATACCAGGTTCCAGTACCTGTTATCAATACATCACGAGAGAACACTAAAACCAAAGAGGTTTCTACAAAATCACCAGATACGAGTAATATAATCCAAGAATTGTTTGATACTAAATCATTTCATTCTTTTTACGTAACGTGGCCCAATGGATTGATAACCGAAAGTGTACATGAAGACAATTCTCCCACCTTGTCCCATATCAAACAGTATAATTCCATACAGTCAACTGACAATGAAGAAGAAATGCGATGTATAAGTTTGGACGGAGAAGTGATCATTTTTCTCACTAACGGGGATATAGAAATATTGAAACCGGATTCTACTTATATCAAAATAACTAAATGCGAAAAAAGACCCTTTGCTGAGGATGTTGAAGATATTCAAAGCATTGCTAGTTCAGATAAAAGTAAAAAAGGCAAAGGTAAAGAGAAAGGAAAAGAAAAATTAAGTAAGACCTCATCTAAAACATCGAAAAATATCTTGGATGACAGCACGTTAAAACCATTAGAATTCGAATTGATTATCAATGAATTTGAATCCATAGAACCAAATGGTTTAAGGCAAAGGTGCATTGAAGGGGATACTATAGATATTGAAAAATTACTCATAAGAACAGCAACTGATTATTGTTTAGGTGAGGTATTTTCGAAACGTATGGATGGAACGACTACACTATTAAATAAAGACGGAATACATATAGTCACATTTCCTAATAATACTAGGATTCTAACAAACTTTATCATTGAAGACACAGAAATATACCCGGAGTGGACTCTAGAAGAAATTGAATATCTTTCCATGTTCGCTTTTGATGTTGAGGTGGAAGCTTTAAAGTCTAAAAGTTCGATTTCCCAAAAAAGTTTTAAGTATAGCTTTGGCCAGGGTGAAGGAAGTTACATGAGTGAAAAGCTTCATATGGAGGAAGAAGTTTGTGAAGATGAACGCAAAGATGGTTATATTTCAGTGCATATAATTTATACGATAGAACATGCGAATTTCACAACAATAACAATTGATAAATGTAACGATAAAATAGTAGTCGAATCTCCGAATAATTCCCAAGTTACGTACAAAAGAAACGGAAATTATGAATTCACTTTGGATTCTCAAACATCTGCTACATTCGATGGGGAAAATCTAAACATCTCTTATGAGGCATGCCCTGAATGTAAATCCTTCACTAGTTGTAATGTTAAAATTAAATCCGAGGAATTAAGCAGCGTAACACAAATGCACAGAAATTGGCTGAAAATGAATGATTCTATGTGCAAGAAAATAGTTGTCAATGAAGAGGGGAATATCAACGTTGTACAAGAATCTTGTTGTGATAATTTATTTCACGACAAGGACTCTGTATTTTCAGAAGAATTGCCAATTTCTGTGGATCAAAATAATAAAGAC